TTAAATACATCAGTGTGTCTACAAAATGAACCCCAAAACCTGATTCTATGCTGGTTGCTACTTGTTATACATCAGGATGTCCATCATGAACGATAGGGACCTGATTCTATGCTGGTGGCTGCATGTATACATCAAAGTGTTAACATAAACAACACTAGACCCTGATTCTATGCTGGTTTGGCTGCTGTATTCCATCAGAATGTCCTCATGAACAATAAGACCCGATTCTACACTGGTGTCTGCTTTATACATCAAAGTGTTTACACGAACACTATGACCTGATTCTATGTCCTTGCTTCTGTATACATCAGTGTGTCTACATAAACTCTAAGACCTGATCCTATGCTGATGGCTGTTGTATACATCAGAATGTCCTCATGAAGGATAAGACCTGATTCTATGCTGGTGGCTGCTGTATACATCAGTGTGTCTACATGAACACTAAGACCTGATTCTATGCTGATGGCTGCTGTATACATCAGAGTGTCTACATGAACGCTTAGACCTGATTCTATGCTGGTGGCTGCTGTATACATCAGAATGTCCTCATGAACACTAAGACCTGATTCTATGCTGATGGCTGCTGTATACATCAGAGTGTCTACATGAAAGCTAAGACCTGATTCTATGCTGGTGGCTGCTGTATACATCAGAGTGTCTACATGAACACTAAGACCTGATTCTATGCTGATGGCAACTGTATACATCAGAGTGTCTACATGAAAGCTAAGACCTGATTCTATGCTGGTGGCTGCTGTATACATCAGAATGTCCTCATGAACACTAAGACCTGATTCTATGCTGATGGCTGCTGTATACATCAGAGTGTCTACATGAACACTAAGACCTGATTCTATGCTGGTTGCTGCTGTATACATCAGAGTGTCTACATGAACGCTAAAACCTGATTCTATGCTGGTTGCTACTGTATACATCAGAATGTCCTCATGAACGATATGACCTGATTCTATGCTGGTGGCTGCTGTATACATCAAAGTGTTAACATAAACACTTAGACCTGATTCTATGCTGGTGGCTGCTGTATACATCAGAGTGTCTTCATGAACACTAACACCTTATTCTATGCTGATGGCTGCTGTATACATCAGAGTGTCAACATTAACACTTAGACCTGATTCTATGCTGGTGGCTGCTGTATACATCAGAGTGTCTACATGAACACTAAGACCTGATTCTATGCTGATGGCTGCTGTATACATCAGAGTGTCTACATGAACGCTTAGACCTGATTCTATGCTGGTCGCTTCTGTATACATCAGAGTGTCTACATGAACACTAAGACCTGATTCTATGCTGATGGCTGCTGTATACATCAGAGTGTCTACATGAAAGCTAAGACCCTGATTCTATGCTGGTGGCTGCTGTATACATCAGAATGTCCTCATGAACACTAAGACCTGATTCTATGCTGATGGCTGCTGTATACATCAGAGTGTCTACATGAACACTAAGACCTGATTCTATGCTAGTGGCTGCTGTATACATCAGAGTGTCTACATGAACACTAAGACCTGATTCTATGCTGGTGGCTGCTGTATACATCAGAGTGTCTACATGAAAGCTAAGACCTGATTCTATGCTGGTGGCTGCTGTATACATCAGAAATGTCCTCATGAACACTAAGACCTGATTCTATGCTGATGGCTGCTGTATACATCAGAGTGTCTACATGAAAGCTAAGACCTGATTCTATGCTGGTGGCTGCTGTATACATCAGAGTGTCTACATGAACACTAAGACCTGATTCTATGCTGGTGGCTGCTGTATACATCAGAGTGTCTACATGAAAAACTAAGACCTGATTCTATGCTGGTGGCTGCTGTATACATCAGAATGTCCTCATGAACACTAAGACCTGATTCTATGCTGATGGCTGCTGTATACATCAGAGTGTCAACATTAATACTTAGACCTGATTCTATGCTGGTGGCTGCTGTATACATCAGAGTGTCTTCATGAACACTAACACCTGATTCTATTGCTGATGGCTGCTGTATACATCAGAGTGTCTACATGAAAGCTAAGACCTGATTCTATGCTGGTGGCTGTTGTATACATCAGAATGTCCTCATGAAGGATAAGACCTGATTCTATGCTGATGGCTGCTGTATACATCAGAGTGTCTACATGAAAGCTAAGACCTGATTCTATGCTGGTGGCTGCTGTATACATCAGAATGTCCTCATGAACACTAAGACCTGATTCTATGCTGATGGCTGCTGTATACATCAGAGTGTCAACATTAACACTTAGACCTGATTCTATGCTGGTGGCTGCTGTATACATCAGAGTGTCTTCATGAACACTAACACCTGATTCTATGCTGATGGCTGCTGTATACATCAGAGTGTCTACATGAAAGCTAAAGACCTGATTCTATGCTGGTGGCTGCTGTATACATCAGAATGTCTTCATGAACACTAAGACCTGATTCTATGCTGGTGGCTGCTGTATACATCAGAGTGTGTTACATGAACACTAAGACCTGATTCTATGCTGGTGGCTGCTGTATACATCAGAATGTTCTTCATGAACACTAACACCTGATTCTATGCTGATGGCTGCTGTATACATCAGAGTGTCTACATGAAAGCTAAGACCTGATTCTATGCTGTGGTGACTGTTGTATACATCAGAATGTCTACATGAACACTAAGACCTGATTCTATGCTGGTGTCTGCTCTATACATCAGGGTGTCTACATGAACACTTGGAACTGATTCTATACTGGTGGCTGCTGTATACATCAGAATGTCTACATGAACACTAAGACCTAATTCTTAGCTGGTGGCTGCTGTATACATCAGAATGTCCTCATGAACACTAAAGACCTGATTCTATGCTGGTGGCTGCTGTATACATCAGAGTGTCAACATGAATGCTAAGACCTGATTCTATGCTGGTGGCTTCTGTATACATCAGTGTGTCTACATGAACACTAAGACCTTATTCTATGCTGGTGGCTGCTGTATACATCAGAATGTCTACATGAATACTAAGACCTAATTCTAAGCTGGTGGCTGCTGTATACATCAGAATGTCTTCAGGAACACTAAGACCTGATTCTGTGCTGGTGTCTGCTGTATACATCAGAGTGTCAACATGAATGCTAAGACCTGATTCTATGCTAGTGGCTTCTGTATACATCAGTGTGTCTACATGAACGCTAAGACCTGATTCTATGCTGGTGGCTGCTGTATACATCAGTGTGTCTACATGAACACTAAGACCTGATTCTATGCTGATGGCTGCTGTATACATTCAGTGTGTCTATATGAACACTAAGACCTGCTTCTATGCTGGTGACTGCTGTATACATCAGTGTGTCTACATGAACACTAAGACCTGATTCTATGCTGGTAACTGCTATTTTACACCCAAAATTCCACAGTGGCTGCTGGGTTTTCCCATCAGAAATGTCATTTTTTTGGGGAAACATTTAAGCCCAAATTCAAAGGGCGGGTTTGGCTGCTGTTACATTTTAAGAATGTCCTAATAACAAAAGACCTGATTCAAAATTTGGCTGGGGTACTTTAAAACCACCCAAGGATTTGGTCAACATGAACGCTGGGGACTTTGGGATCTAGCTGGGGTTGACTGATGGTAAAAAAATTAGGTGTTTTCCCAAATGAACGCTTAGCCCCTGATTTTAAAACGCGGGGTTTAAACTGATGTTCCCATCAGAGTATTTTAAAATTGGGGGGCAAAGGACCCTTTTTTGTTTTTTAAAAAACCCCGGTGGCGGCTGTATACATCAGAATGTCTACATGAATGCTAAGACCTGATTCTAAGCTGGTGGCTGCTGTATACATCAGAATGTCTTCATGAACACTAACACCTGATTCTATGCTGGTGGCTGCTGTATACATCAGAGTGTCAACATGAACGCTTAGACCTGATTCTATGTTGGTGGCTGCTGTATATATCAGAATGTCCTCATGAAAACTAAGACCTGATTCTATGATGGTGGCTGCTGTATACTTCAGAATGTCCTCATGAACACTAAGGATTGGTTCCATGCTGGTGGCTGCTGTATACATCAGTGTGTGTACATGAACTGTAAGACCTGATTCTATGCTGGTGGCTGCTGTATACATCAGTGTGTCTACATGAATGCTAAGACCTGATTCTATGACTTTGGCTGCTGTATACATCAGTGTGTCTTCATAAATGCTAAGACCTGATTCTATGCTGGTGGCTGCTGTATACATCAGAATGTCGTCATGAACACTAAGACCTAATTCTAAGCTGGTGGCTGCTGTATACTTCAGAATGTCCTTATGAACACTAAGGCCTGGTTCTATGCTGGTGGCTGCTGTATACATCAGTGTGTGTACATGAACTGTAAGACCTGATTCTATGCTGGTGACTGCTGTCAACATCAGTGTGTCTACATGAACACTAAGACCTGATTCAGTGCTGGTTGCCCAGTTGGTTTACTTTCAGAATTTTCATATTGAAATATTGCATAATAACAATTATCAATTCAAACATTATCACAGATAGGCTAAAATTTTGCATTCATACTGAGTAAAACGTAGAGTAAAATGTATCAGAAGATTGAAAAAAGATTTATACTAATTTGAATATCTTACAAGCTTAAGATTGTTAAACTCTGAAATTCCAAACCAAAATACTTTCCACATATTTGTAATCATGTACATCTTGTAGAAATTAAATACATACAGATTGCCCTAAAAAGCGAAAGTTTATATAGATGTTAGTAACAAGTGTTCCTACTATCTAGCTCCCGTGTAGCAGGAATTGAACAGTGTAACATTTTTCTACTCATCTAACTCCATACTATGATGAAAAGTCAATATACCAATGTTCTTTCTTAATTAAATGAAGGTAAACCTATGAAGTAGAGACTAAAAAATCATGCAAAAAAAAGAATAAGATCTCACAAAGAATAAAAATCTTGTTTACAAGAACAATGATATTAGAAGATATATTGAAGAGCATTAATTTTATTTCAGATATTAATGAATGTAGCGATGGTTCTAATTGCTGCGGTGGTCCAACACATTATTGTAGCAATAGTGATGGAGAATATTCCTGTGGTTGTGCTGGATCTGGCTATGAATTAGATGGTGATGAGTGTACATGTGTAGGCAAGTCATTAAATAAATTTCATAGCAAGGCTAGAACATATATTGCTAAACAAGGAAATGATTGAAAGCTTTTTTTCTTAAAATGACATAAAATATTTCATTTTATTTTGTTATTCTGTAAAAAGTCAATACTAAATTCTCTCTTTAAATGATAATATAACTATTGATAATTATAATACAGATTTAGATGAATGTGATTACGATCCATGTGGTGGTGTAGGCTATGGGTGTGAAAACACCGATGGAAGTTTCAGCTGCTATTGTAACAATGGATTTAGATTGTCTAACCCTACAACATGTGTTGGTAAATACATTTATTAATTCATAAAATCATAATCAATGAACTTTCAGCAGTTGGACCATTTCCAGATTACAAAACATCCACATCGAATCCATATCACATCCCATATTGCCTTGTTTTCATTTTCAGAGTCCAATATATCTATATCAAATTCATATTGCACCACATATAACCTTGTTTTCATTTTAAGAGTCCAAAATGTCTATATCAAATGCATATCATACTACATCTAGCCTCATTTCAATTTTCAGGGTCAAAAGTTAATAAAAATTCCTTATAGCTAGTATCTTAAGTCAAAATGTCAAAAGACAGAAAATAAAGAGGTCATTTAAATTGTGATTATAAACCTATGATTAATTCTATATTATCTTTACCTATGCCAAAAAATCATCTGGAAGATCATGGTAACAACATAAATTATGTCAAAGTTTATAATACATAAGGGGGCGCCATCCTTACCATCTACATTTATAATTGATAAAACACTCACAAAAAGCATATTAATATAAATATTGTGAATAATTCTAGTTATCAGCACAATAAATTTTATTTCAGATATTGATGAATGCAGTGAAGGTTCTCATTGCTGCTCTGGGCCGACGCATACTTGTAGCAATTCTGACGGAGGCTACTCCTGTGGTTGTTCTGGAGATGGCTATTCTTTAGATGATGATGGGTGTACATGTGTAGGCAAGTCTTCTTAAATGAAATTTTATATCAGAGCTAAAAAATATGTTGTTTAAACAAAAATGATATTTCTCCCCTGGTTAAGGAGGCAATGCAAAAAAAACATTAAACCTAGAAAATTACGATTACATTGAGTCTGTTCATAAGAGTTATATGCACATTTCTTTCACCCTCAGATTTAAAGGGGCACATTATGCTTCAAAAACTCTACGGAGAAGAGGCAACATAGAAGGATTGCATCTCCGTTGTCTGACTGTCTGTCCGCACTATCGAATAGGGATAGGGGACCATCTAACTGTAAACAGAACAAAAGAGAACAATAGAGTTCAATCCATAACAATTGAGTAAGAGGACAAAGAAAATAACAAAAGAAATGGCCCTTTATTCGATTTTCTGCTGGACGTCTGTCCATCGACCTGTTTGCCATCACAAAACTCTGAACTACCCAAAAATGACTTCTGCAATTTCATCCAAACTTTACAGGAATGATCAGTACCAAGTCTAGTTGTGCATATTGTCAGCATTTTCTGGTTCAATGATTTTTGTCTGAGTTATGGCCCTTTGATAATGTTAATCTTTAAAGTGTGTTCTGTCTACTCCTCTTATACCACATATACAATTTCAATGAAACTTTACAGGATTTGATTTGTAGGTCAAGTTCTTGTTCATATTACACAGGCTTTTTAGTTGAATGAATTTTTGCTTAGTTATGGCTATCATGAGGCGACGCATGTGATCACTGATCTCTCTTGTTTTGTTGTTTGTTTTTTTTTGTATTGATTTTTTAGGCTTCAATGTTTCTTTTTTTTATTGAAATGCCGATGAAATAAAGGAAAATTGATCCCTGTAAAAGAAATTTTTCAATCCTGGTTATTATTCTACATCTAGAAAAATTTACTCCTCAGTTTCTGTAAAATACTGATTACCTCTGAAGAAAAATGACCCCCTTAAGAAACTTGTAGAATATTTACCCCATCTAATCAATCTTTGACTATATATTTATTACTGAAAGCTGAAATTGTTGTCACATCCTTAGAAGTAAATGCTCTTGAACTTAAAATTAATGTGACATTGACTTCTCTATCATTTTAGAAGTCAGCTTTTTGCAGACTGAAACATTTACTTTTACATATTTTCAACTGGCTTTATTGTTTGATTGAAACTGTACATGAGAAATGATGAAAAGGTACAACATATCTAATACACACTATCACCGATGTTATTTAAGATGTTTTCAATCACAAACAATTGAAAGTATTGCAATCAATGTTCCCAAAATAAACAAAAAAATACAACACTAAGATGGAGTTGTTACAGTTGTCAAATTTCAATGATGACATAAGGTGGCAATTCATTCTTACTTATAATGATAGAGAGGCAAAACATTGTCATTGTGAAATAATACTCAAAAATGGCATTTCTGAGTTTATTTTAGCGCAATTATGATGAAAGCTTGATCCTTACCACTACTGTATATTAAACGTCTGTTTCCAGGAACTTACATTTTGTCATATACAAAAAAAACAAAGTCATGACTAAAGAAAGGCTCAAACCAACTTGAACAGGTTTTAGAAATAGACACCTACCTGGAAATAATGACATGGATGATATAAGTTTCCCTCTCCACCCTATGTCTATCAATTTATTACAAACCTTTAAACTATGTAACTACAGACAGTTGCATTAGAAGTATAACAAGTTATGTTTTCCTCTACTTAATTCACAGTCCATACCAAATAATAAAAAAGTTTTGCCACTTTCAGCTGATGCTTGGTAAAAATAATCATAACTTTATGTTTAATCATGATTAAATTCGAAAAAGTTTGATTTTATACATTTTTTAGGAAATCATCATAAGCTTCACCAGTATATTAGAATTTAAAAAACGACTACTGACTATGGGGTCATTATTTAAAAGGGGTCACAATTCTTTAAGCTTTTACTTCTCTGTAAGTGTGAGTGTGTGTGCGTGCATGCATGTGTGCACAAGTTCGCATGTGTGTGTCTGACTGTGAATGTGTGTTTAAAATGGAACTACGTACATGTTTAACAAATTTTGATATTTTGAATCTTAGATATTGATGAATGTCAGAACTCTGATTGTGAGCATAACTGTGTGAATACAGAAGGTTCCTACAAGTGTTACTGCGATGATGGTTATGTAAAATCTTCATTTACTGACTGTGACGGTACGTACAGTTTTTGGAATATAAATGTCAGGTGCTAACCATTAAAAATCTGTGATGCATAAAACATGAACTATCTTACACATATGCTGCAGACGGGATGCAGCAAAACTGTTCATAATTTAAAATATGTGTTATTTCAGTCAAATGTTACAAAAAGCTTTACCCTTTAAATGATCATAAAATGAGTTATAATGTTTCTACAACGTGTCCTTCCACAAGATCTACAAAAAACACTTCAAATTTCTTATTTGCACATGCCTCAATGAGAGCTTTAACCTTGTTTGAAGTCACTAGGTCAATGTAACAGTGACCTTGTGTCATCTTACAGTGGTATTGTATCTCTTGTTGGTACATTTATCTTAATCTTATCTGTTGTGTTTAGTGCTCTTCTATAATTATGAGAATGTACATGTTTTATTTGATGATGATATTTAAATACTGCAAGTTTGTTAAATTATGTTAACTGCTGCTGTTAACTTATGAAGTAGTTTCATTTTTTTAATGATGGAAATTTACTGAATTATGAATTTGTTATTAAAATGTTCAATGGCTGTATTATTAACAGTTGTTTGCAATATAGCCTGTCAAAAATCTTTACATATTTGAATACACCATTTATTATGATTTCAATAATTCTAGCTGCACACCAGATACAAATTTCGATTTTTTAAAATGGTGAAAATTACAAGCAACTTTACTTAATGGTGTGAAAGATTATAAATATTAGGTAGCCCATTTACAATTATACAGTCATGCTCTTTTGAACCACAATAAATTGAGCCATTTAGAACCACTCTTATGTTTTACAGGTAAAGAAATTGTCATTGACTTTAGATAGAATACATGGTATAGTAATAATTCCACCATAACAGAGTATTTATCATAATTATGATAAATATTTGAAGGTTACTACATTAACATAATGCACTTCACATTTGTTTTTCATTTATATGGTTTTTAGATATTTCATCAAATTTATTACACAGTATTTAACAATAATTCTATCCTTGGAAAATATCCAAGAAATGTTGATATTACATTTTCAGTTGTCAATTGTCTGCAAGCATCTGTTGTACAACACAGCTTTATTCAAATGAGTTAAATTTTGAATCAAATGTCATCAAAAAAAATAAGCGAAACATCAAAATTTCACTGGCTATTCGCTACGTGTTCTTTAAATCACTTGTTGTAAATTACTAACTGTTTCATAAATATATGATAAGCACGTTTAATCACCAATGATATTTTACTGCTGTTAATTCCTGTAATATTTTATTCAGATATAAACGAGTGTACAGTAATACCAAATGTATGTGATGGTGCTGACTGTTATAATGTAGATGGTTCCTATTATTGTGAAGCAGACTCTTCAAACTGTTACTCATCTTGTATAGGTGAGATAATAGTGTCTAGATTTGTATCAACTTTTGTTTTAAGGATAATTATTGCATATTACACTCTATGCAAATTAACACATACCAACGTTCATATTTTTTGCTAAATAGGTTACTTTCTATCTATATGAAAGCTTTGCATTAAGTTGTAAATATTTTTGTCATTTCTGGTCACATACAATATTATGCTTATTGATAGTATTAATACATTTTGTATTTTTACACATGAATATATAAAGCCAGTCTAATTTATGTTCAAAACATGAATATTTACAACCTATCATATCTTTAACACATATGTATGATGACTTTACCAGTCCAAACATATTTTTACACATAAATATACTGAACCATTTATGCTCGTAGATGCTTAACACATGAATATGATGACTTTATTTAAGCCTTGTACCTAGTATTGTTTTATTTCATATCAGCTGTAAATGAATGCACCCTGAACATGGATAATTGTGAGCAAAATTGCATAGATCTTCCATCTGGATATCAATGTTCTTGCAACCCTGGATTCATGCTTGATGGAAATGGAAGAACATGTGGTTGACTCTTGCAATTGTATTCTTTTTAAAGCCTAAGTTGTTTTTTTTGTTTTGAACAATATACTAATCGCATACAATATGAACATGTGTGCATACACACAAGTGTGTGTTTAATCTAGTATGCTATTTATATTTTAAAATGATCAAAATATCTGACAATGTAATTGTTGCAGAATGTATTATAATTGGCATGTTAATTAAAACAAGGGATTGAAAATATGTAATGAAATGTTTTTATTATATCTGTTTGCTTTACCTTTTTTCTTTGTTGAGGGCTATCAAACTTTATAAGGAATCATTTTTCAAAATTTTATCATTCACTTTTTTGCCTCCATTGGTATTGACATTAGAAATTGATATTTAAAGGCCTAAAATGCTAGTGTGTTCTCCACAGGTTTAAAGGCTGTTTCTTTAACATAGTAAGCAATTACATTTTACTGGTATAAAACATTATAAAATAGAGCTTACCCTTTTTTTCTTCTTCTGAAAAAAAACAAAAACATCTACCAATGCATTTTTATGGCATGCCTTGATCCAATGGGCTGAAATGTATGTTTTTTTTTTTTATGGAAGAATAACCTAGTAAGCCATTTGACAAATATTCTATGGTTGTTTATAATTTTTCATATAAACAATTTAATTCATTACATTTTTATTATCCCTTTAACAGATATTTCAGATTGAATTTAGCTATTTTATAATGAAATAGATATGTCCAATAAGGTTTCATTTTACTTATAATTTTTTGTGGGTTAAATAGAGGTAATTTATGCCATGTTGTTTATTATAATATATTTTTATTATTTGGGAAATTCAAATAAAAAGGTAAAAATACATCTGATTTCTATTTTCTATCACATAAAGCTAAGATGATGAGCTGTATTTACTTTACATATATTTATTCAGCACCCTTCCTGGCGTGTGTTAATTTTCATGATAACATGAAGAAAAAAACTGTTCTTTTCAATACACTTTTAATTATTTTTTTTTTGGTTGAATTAAATATATGTTTATGGCAACTTTTCAGCTTAACTTGTGGTTGAAGACCCCAGTTGCCTTTCCTTACATTATTTCTGGCACAAACTTGCACCTCAGTAGAACCACTGACGCTGAATAGCTTTCTCACATAACAGAAACTTAAGGTAGACCACCCTTTACGGGCACAATATAGAACTGTAAAATTGACAACAAAGGACAGTTATATGCTTTAAATGTCACCTGTATGCCAAATTTAAACAAAATTTACCATGTGATTTACGAGTTATGGACATTTTTCTGAAGATGAGACGGGCCCTTTTTCAGAAATGAGGAAACTCTTAATAATCTATATCATCATTATGAAAAATGTTTTCCTATTGATCATTGTTAAGAAACAAATAATAACATTCAGGCATCTAATTACATGAGCAAAATAATTGTTTCTAAACAAAGTGTTTTTAATATGTATAAAAATGCTACCCTACCCCTGCACCCAATTTAAGCATTTATTTGACCTTTTCCCTCTGTAAAAAAACCTTATTCAAAATATCCCTAAAATTTTCCACAATAAGGGGCTGTTTTTAAAATTTGCCATTTTTTTAAAAAAGTAAATTGCTTGATCTTACAAAATATAAGATACCATATAGTTCTTATATTATTAAAGGGCACTGAGGTTTTTTGATATGATGGTACTGAAACTATTTTTTCCAGATAAATGTACCATTTGATGAAGGTTTAGACCACTAAACTTTGTGCAAAATTTCACATCATTCGCCCACTTCGTCTTTCCAGAATTATTATTCAAATTGTAAAAAATGACCCAAAATGAAAAGCGTTTAAACATTTTTCACTCAAATCAGGGTATGAAATGCAAGAAAAAAAGATTTTCAATTTATTTCAAAGTATATTTCTTAATTTTCTTTGCATATATTTCTGTTTAAAGTGCCCCAGCTCATTCATGTAAGAAATTCAAATGATCTGTTTTTAGGCATTTAAACCGCAGTGGAGTCCCTTTAAACTTTGAAAATATCTGGTATCACATTTGCTATTAAATTTGGCACTACAGTAATTATACAATTAAAATCAAACTTTTTTTCTTTCGATAAGATTTAAGAGATACATAAATAATGTTAAAAAGAAAAGAAAAAAGGAAAGAAATAAAATTGTTGCCACTCCTGGACTTTGAATCCATGCCCCTCAGTTTCAATGCAGCTGACAGTGATTCTAGCCTATTTGAATACTCTTCAAAGTGAAGGTAAGGCATTAGAGGTGGTCTACCTTAAGGGTCTGGCGGGACTCTGACCCAAAGCGGTGAGAAGCTAATGGTTTTAAGCCACAAACTAGCAAAATGCAAGTCAATATAGAGATGCTAGTGTAGCAGATTATGAACATAAATTGATATAACTTTGAAAAAAAAATGAAATTTTAACAAAAAAGTCATCTTTAAAGGCAATTTATGAGAAATTGATAATTGCACAGTAAACAAATACATATAAATGCATAAGCATCATGTAGTAGATTGGTAAATATAATATTGAAAAAAAGTGAGTTAACATTTCTTGTACTGGCAAAAGTTTGCGAGTGGAAAAAAATGCTAAATGACACCCCATTCATTTTCAATTTTTTTTTCATCAGTCATTTACCAATGAACATTTCTGCAAATTTTCCTGTATTTTGGTTTCAAGAGATGAATTGTGACAGTCAAAGTCCTAAATGTCCGACAAAGCTACATAATTGTTCATGTCGTCTTTCTTGTGGGGAGAGTAGATCACATGCTTTGGGATCAGGAAGTCCCAAGTTTAAACCATATCATAGTCACTTCTTATTCCCGGAAATTTATACTAAAGAGGGCAGCATAATTCTGCACAGAATAATGTGGTCTGTTATCAGTGGAGTGAAACACTCCCTTGCAAGATTGATATATGGATTCAAGACACCTAATGTCTTGAGGCAAGTGCTGTAAGTCAGTGAATGTGCCATGTGTATATGTATAAACCTTTCACTATAATTTATTATCCCCCGCCGATGAAATCGGGAGGGGGATATAGTTTTGGCGTTGTCCGTCCGTCCTTCCGTCCGTCCATCCGTCCGTCCGAATTTCGTTTCCGGAGTAGTTCTCTGCAACTAATGGCTGGAATTCAACGAAACTTTATGGGAATGTTGATCAGCATGTGAAGTTGTGCACCTGGGTACTTTCGTCTGGATATTTTTAGTATTTTTAGAGTTATTGCCCTTGACTCAGTAAAATTTTGTCCGAATTTCGTTTCCGGAGTAGTTCTCTGCAACTAATGGCTGGAATTCAATGAAACTTTATGGGAATGTTGATCAGCATGTGAAGTTGTGCCCCTGGGTATTTTCGTCTGGATATTTTTAGTATTTTTAGAGTTATTGCCCTTGACTCAGTAAAATTTGTCCGAATTTCGTTTCCGGAGTAGTTCTCTGCAAACTAATGGCTGGAATTCAACGAAACTTTATGGGAATGTTGATCAGCATGTGAAGTTTGTGCACCTGGGTATTTTCGTCTGGATATTTTTTAGTATTTTTAGAGTTATTGCCCTTGACTTAGTAAAATTTTGTAATTTTCAACTTGTGTCGCATGTAACTCAAAAAGTATTTTACCTAGAGTCATGAAACTTTACAGGAATGTTGATCAGTATGTGTAGTTGTGCACCTGGGTATTTTCGTCTGGATATTTTTAGTATTTTTAGAGTTATTGCCCTTGACTTAGTAAAATTTTGTAATTTTCAACTTGTGTCGCATGTAACTCAAAAAGTATTTTACCTAGAGTCATGAAACTTTACAGGAATGTTGATCAGTATGTGTAGTTGTGCACCTGGGTATTTTCGTCTGGATATTTTTAGTATTTTTAGAGATATTATGCCCCCACAGAGTGGGAGCATATAGCGTTGCACTTGTCCGTCCGTCCGTCCGTCACGCCGTACGTCTGTCTGTCCGTCTGTCCCGAAATCTTGTGAACGCATTTCCTCTTAAACCGGATGGCAGATTTTGCTTAAACTTTCAGGGATGAACAACCTTAATATGTAGATGGTAGTAAAGGAAGGAATTTTCGCTGCGACCAAATTTAACAGAATTATGGCCCTTTGTTGGTTTTTTCACTATATACTATGTAGAAATTTTGTGAACGCAACTCCTCTTAAACCGGATGGCAGATTTTGCTTAAACTTTCAGGGATGAACAACCTTAATATGGAGATGGTAGTAAAGGAAGGAATTTTCACTGCAACCAAATTTAACAGAATTATGGCCCTTTGTTGATTTTTTCACTATATACTATGTAGAAATTTTGTGAACGCAACTCCTCTTAAACCGGATGGCAGATTTTGCTTAAACTTCCAGGGATGAACAACCTTAATATGTAGATGGTAGTAAAGGAAGGAATTTTCGCTGCAACCAAATTTAACAGAATTATGGCGTTTTGTTAATTTTTAACTATATACTATGTAGAAATTTTGTGAACGCAACTCCTCTTAAACCAGATGGCAGATTTTGCTTAAACTTCCAGGGATGAACAACCTTAATGTGTAGATGGTAGTAAAGGAAGGAATTTTTGCTGCGACCAAATTTAACAGAATTATGGCCCTTTGTTGATTTTTTCACTATATACCATAAAGAAATTTTGTGAACGCAAATCCTCTTAAACCTGATGGCAGATTTTGTTTAAACTTTCAGGGATGAACAACCTTAATGTGTAAATGGTAGTAAAGGAAGGAATTTTTGCTGCGACCAAATTTAACAGAATTATGGCCCTTTGTTGATTTTTTCACTATATACCATATAGAAATTTTGTGAACGCAACTCCTCTTAAACCGGATGGTAGATTTTGCTTAAATTTCCAGGGATGAACAACCTTAATGTGTAGATGGTAGTTAAGGAAGGAATTTTTGCTGCGACCAAATTTAACAGAATTATGGCCCTTTGTTGATTTTTTCACTATATACCATATATATGGGGACATCCGTGTCCTTTGGACACAGTTCTAGTTGCCCTTGACTTAGTAAAATTTTGTAATTTTCAATCACAATCATCAGTCACACGGGGCCAGAAAAGGAGTTTCAAAAATGCAAAATTAAAAAATCTTGTCTGACAGTACAAGGCCTAGAGCTTTGATATTTGGTATATGATATAACATATAGGTCCTCTGCCAAAATTGTTAAAATTTTAGCCGTGGGGTCAAAATTGGCCCCACTCCAGGGGGTCATAGATTTTCCTTATATGTATATAGTGAAAACTTAAAAACTCTTCTTGTTTGAAGGTACAAGGCTTCAAGTTCAAAGAATTTTACAGTTTATGCCATGATTAATATATAAATAAAGCCTTATGTCTTCAGTTGTTGTGTTAATAATAACCAGTACTCGGCGGGGGATATAAATTCAACGAATTTGCTTGTTTCACTATTTAAATGGCAAGTTATAAAGTGACGCCTGTAACATACCTTCAATATCTATTAGTGCAGTATGGCAATGATTTGTACCCCTGATAATTTAATATTGAAACTCTATACTTTGAAGTCAAAGCAAGGCAAAAACATAACACAAATTCAGCATGGAAATGGAAAATCAAAAGATAATCTGAAGTGTGACTCTGACAGCCCCTAACTCTGACAACCCTAATGGTTGTAGAAGACTAACTGGTAGGTTAACAAGCGGGTAAAAAACTGGCAAATGTAATGATGTGTAATTTTACATTATTTAAAAGTTTGGTATAATACAGAACCTGATACATCAAATAAAAGTCGGGTAAATGTCATTAAATTATACTGATTTACAGAAAAGGTTAACTGAGACAGAACAAAGCACTGATAAATTAAATTAACAGATTTTTTATTTCTTTTAAATTATAACAAGTAAAAGCAAGTTATGGTATAACAATATGATATTCATAATCTAGTTTGAAAACAGAATTATAACTGCTGAAACATATAAACAACAGTTAAAATGCATACAAATTGATATCATTCTATGCAAACATTAAAGTATTTTCATAGTATAGACAATAGTACCAATTGTCACAAATGCTCATATAAATTTATACACAATTTACATCAAATCCCACAATTTTTGATGACTGTAAATGATTTATACTCACATTTTTATATCTGACAATAGACCTTGACTTAAGCCAAAGTGAATTCAATTTTGCACATAATTGCTGAAAATGTTGAACATTTGTATCAAATAGCAGTCCTATTTAAAAGGAAAAAAACGAAAAACACACATTAAAAAAAAAAACCAAAAAAAAACAAGAAAATTCTTACATTTGACCTTAGTTTAAAAAGAGCATTTTTCTTGCATTTATGACTTAAAATTTTGTAAGGTGTCCTTAAAATTTAAAGTAGCAACAGCAAGTTAAGAGTAAAAATGTTCATTTGCCATAAAAAGAACACAAGAAGCGTCACATGCGATGAAACCAGGTTTTCAATGGCCAATTTTTGATGTAACAGGAATCACTAGGTCAAAGTGCACTGAAGTTATTGACAATAGGCTGAAAATTCTATTGTAAGCAAATGACCTTGACCTTGCTCCTAGATATGTAATTGGCAATCCCAAGCTGCCACACAGCAAGTTTGGTGTCAAAAGGTCAAAGCAAACTCAAGTTATTACTGAAAACTTTATTTCTTTTTCCTTTTTAAGCAAGAGTGACCTTGACCTTGTTCACAGTCACCTTGGTAGCAATCCAAAGTTGCATCTTGATATAAGCTTCCCACACACCAAGTTTGGTGTCAATAGGTCTAAGGAAATTGAAGTCATTATTGGGAGACTGAATTTCTATTTTTAGCAACATTGACATTGACCTTGATCACAGACATCTGGATAGCAATCCCAAGTTACATCCTGATATAAGCTAACCACACATCAAATGCTGTCCATAGGTCACAACAAAATCAAGTTTTTGAGTAGAAACTTAATTTCTATTATTAGCAATTAAGTGACTTTGACTTTAATCATAGTCACCTGGGTAGTTATCCTCAGTAGTGTCTTGATATAAGCTACCCATTCAACAAGTTTGGTGTTCATATGCCACAGCAAACTCAAGTTATTGAGCTGAAACTGAATTTCTATTATTAGTAACAGTGACGTTGACCTTGATCACAGACACCTGGGTAGCAATCCCAAGCTGCCTCTTGATATAAGCTACACACCAAGTTTGGTGTCAATAGGCCAAAGCAAACTCAAATCATTGAGCTGAAACTGAATTTCTATTATAAGTAACAGTGACCTTGACCTTGACCACAAACACCTGGGTAGCAATCCCAAGCTGCCTTTTGATATAAGGTACCAATAACCATGTTAGGTGTCAATAGGCCAAAGCAAACTCGAGTTATTTAGCGGAAACTGAACATCTATTTTTAGTAACACTAACCTTGACCTTATCAGTTTTGGATCATTTTGCACAATTTTAAAATAATTTCTGGAGAAACAGACCGAGTCAATGATCTGAAATTTTGCACACAAAATTTGCTAGATTAATCTAAAGAAACAAAGTCCAGTCCAGTCCCGTCATGTCAAAAACATTTGGTGGTGTCTCAGAAAACTTAGACAAAAATAAGGGTAAGCTTTCAAGGGGCATAAAGCATGGCAGTAAATTAGATCATATCTTATCAATGCCTTTGTATATGCTTAGCAAAAACATAAAGAAATAAATTTATATCCATGTAAATATGTCCAACATTATTATAATTATTAATTATAATACATCATGTTATTATTAAGTATATTATTATTACAATATTATATACAATATATATATTACACATATGTGTGCATTCTAATATAGAATATCAAAAACATACTAGAGCTGTAGACAATAGGTAAGTTCATCTCAATATCATTTACTCATCAATTAAGTCTACTGTATTGCTGTATTGAACATTTATTTCATTAACCTTTTACCTCATATAGATGTGTTTTGACGGTTTTTCACCCAACCCCCCCCCCCTTTGAGGCCTCAAATAAAGAGAAAAAAAGCCCTTTTTAGGCCCTAAACACTGTTTCTCGCTTGAGAAATGTTGTTAAAAAAAAGTGATCACTTTTTCGGCGCTGCCCCCCTATCTAAAAGGTACATCAAGGGGTTGCCAGAAGGGGAAAAAGCCCCTTTCTGTTTGGGGTTTTGAAGAGGAGCCTCATCGCAAAGAAAATTTTGGACATGTGGCAGGCTAACAATGGCCTCAGGTAGATCTTACGGTAACATGTAACCAACACGGAAAAGCCCTTTTCTCCATCTCAATCCATTCAGAAGCAGCACTTTGAAATCAATTTTGATAGAAAAAAAAACAATGCAAAATAGTAATTTTGGCAATTTTGAGATGAAATTTAAGCTTGAGCATGCTGTTACAAAGGCTATGGTCCAGTCAACATTTGTGCCAAGTTTCATAAGTATTGAAGCATTTTTCATAGTTTCATAAGAGTTTGAACTTGTAACAGGAAGTTTTTCAATGAAAACGGACATTTTTTAGAATATGCTCATGCAGTTAAAGGGTAAGTAGAAATACTAAATTATAAGGAGGATATTTGTTTCAGTACATATCAATGTAACATATTTCATTAGACAAACATCTTGTGATGTGACAGCTGCTGTTTACTAGTGAAATATAATATGATCTCACATGTGAAACAATTAAAGTTTCTATTTATTTCATGCTTTTTATAATTATAAGTTGCAATTCATATTTTCACATTTGTGTTAAAAGCCTTTTTCAATTCTATAATGTTTTGCACATATAAAATGATTATTCTGGAAAACAAATTAAGGGTATGATTTGAAATATTTTGCATGAACATATTTTTGGGCCTGACCTAATAATAATATTTCCAGTTCAATCATGTCAAAACAAGATCTGTCACAGGAGACAGCGAAGCTCGACTAATTGAATACTGGATGCGGTAGGGAAGACAAAACTATGAAAGAAAAATCAATTATGATGTAAATATATTAGTTCTTATGACAAGAAGTTATAGTTGTTAACAAAGTCCAAGTTTAAGGGTTAATAATTCTGGAAAAAGTCACACTAGAGTTATGGACCTTGTCACACAACATATAAGAAATTATATTTGAAGTAGATACCTTAAAAAGTAAAGAAGTTATAATATTTCTTAAAGAAAATTCTACTTTCAAAGGGAGATAAAACTGAAAATATTGCTTCAAGAGTTATGAACCTTGTCACAGAAGATGTGGTTGATGACCTTTAAAACTAAAGAAGTTTTAGTAAAAAGTAACATTTTTTAAAGTAAAAAAATCTAAGTAAATGGGTAGATAATTCTTGCAATATTGGTGCTACAGTTATGAACCTTGTCACATAAGATGTGGTTAATGATAAGGAACATATATTTACATATATGTATTATATATGTATTAAGTTGATCCTTTAAGAAATTAAGAAGTAACAGTAAAAAATAATATTTCTAAGGAAAATTCTTAGTTTAAGGGGAGATAAATCTGAAAATATTTGGTTCAAGAGTTATGAACCTTGTCACATAATATGTGGTTGCTGATAAGGAACATATATTTGAAGTATGAAGTTGATCCCTTATGAAATGAAGAAGTAACAGTAAAAATAATATTTCTAGGGAAAATTCTTAGTTTAAGGGGAGATAAATCTGAAAATATTGGTGCAAGAGTTATGAACCTTGTCACATAAGATATGGTTCCTGATACGGAACATATATTTGAAGTATGAAGTTGATCCCTATTAAAATAAAGAAGTTACAGTAAAAAATAATATTTTTTAAGGAAAATTCTAAGTTCAAGGAGATATAAATCTGAAAATATTGGTGCTAGAGTTATGAACCTTGTCACATAAGATGTGGCTGATGATAAGGAACATATATTAGAAGTTTGAAGTTGATACCTCAAGAAATTAACAAGAGCTGTCCGTAAGACAGCGCGCTCGACTTTTTTATTGCTTGCCAATAAAAAAAGTTTTTGCAGTAAAAGGCAATACAAGAATCTCTGTATTTTTAAAGTGAACAATGGCCATGAGCATTAAGATATTTAGTGAAGAATTATTAACCAAGATTCTAAGTCGATAAAAGGCCTTAATTTTTAAAACAAATCCTTGACAGAGTTACCTTCTCTTGCGTACAGATGGGGGTAATGATGTGAAATAGCATTAAAAGTTTCAAAGCAATATCTCAAAGGGTTAAGGCAATAAGTGGATTTTACCCATATTCAATGTATTTTCTAAGTCAAAAAGGGGCATAATTCTGTCAAAAACCTTGACAGAGTTATGTCCTCTTGTCTGTTGATGAAGGTCGTGATGGTAAACAAGTATGGTCAGTTTCAAAGCAATACCTCCAATGGTTTTGAAATAAAGTGAGTGGTACAAAAAACTTAACCAAGCTCAATACACTTTCTAAGTCAAAAAAAGGGCCATAATTCTGTCAAAAACCTTGACAGAGTTATGTACTCTTGTCTGTAGATGGAGGTTATGATGGTGAACAAGTATGGTAAGTTTCAAAGCCATACTTGTAATACTTCTGAAATAAAGTGGGGTGGTACGAAAAACTTAACCAAGGTGTGACGCCAACGCCGACGCCGACGCCGGGGCGAGTAGGATAGCTCCCCTTTTCATAGAAAAGTCGAGCTAAAAAGTAATAGTGAAAAATATTTTACTGCACCAAAACTTTAATCTGAAATCTGGACGCGGACGCTGGGGCGAGTAGGGCTCAACATCACATGTTTCCTCATTACACACCACTACTGGTTAGTTCCAGAAATCAGACTAAATATTGCTTCAAGTCATCACAAATGAATAAAAATAAATATGTTTATAAACTGATTTAGATTTATCACAGTCTAATAGATCGGAACTGTGTATTTCATGTTTTATAAAGGTCAGAAAAATGATGAGACAAATAATACCCGTACTAGGTTACAAAGAAATGCATTTTTCTCAAAAATATCTTCTAAGCTAGTCATGTTTATCAATTGATGTAAGATGACAAATGATAATTACAATACAGTACATCAAAGAAAAATAATGGCTGTCACAAAAAAAACTGGATATCTTCATGTTATTTAAACATAGCTACTAATATTATTGCAAAACTATTGTATATTTTTTATCAAACTTGTTGCTAAAGTTTAGAGTGTAACAATATATTGTTAAAAACTGTTTACTAGTACTTGAAATGTTGGACGACAGTTTGAATCATAGTATGACAAATTACCTGCACAGAATGATACAGCACATCATTATTCTAAACCCCAAACAAGGGAGGTAACTATCAAAGAAATATGGCATGCTCAAGTTATCATTTTTTAACATTGGTGGCAATCATCTCAAAATTATTAATTAATATGCCTCAAACTTATTTTGAAAAGTGACTGTCCTAGCTTAAATCTGCAATTTACAGACTTTAAGAATTTGATAACCAGCAGCAACTGAAATTACCCATGCGAGCAGTGCTGACAAAGATAACCTAGCACATATGTGCCATCTGATCATAGTCAGCACTGTTCACACATATTGAAAATTTCCCCAAAAATGGTCATTTTGTTAAGATTGAAAGACAAACCAGTCCATTTAAGATATACAGTGAGGTAAGGGTTTAGTAAGTAAGAAGTGGTTCACTCTGTTGTTTTGTTTCACAGATACATACCATGATACAAATTGTATTATAGGAATCATTTATGTATCATATCATGAGTAAAGCAAAGTGTTACATCAAACTGTCACATTCTACAGGAAAATACTACACATGTATCATAAACTTGAGAGAGCATCAGATAACTCCTGAGAGGCTGCCATTGATAAACTGATTGCATCTGAACTCTCTGCCACAGATGAGTTGCTCACACATTGTAATGACGACTCTAGGTCATCTTGAAACTGGAAGTCATCAGAAACCGGATTGACCAGAACATATTCTTTGTCAGTATCTACAAAGTCAGTGTAATCAGAACAACCATCCTGGCAATGCGGATCTGGGTGAGAATTACTTGTTAACATGTCTGTGCTTGCATCATCAATCATTGATTCTAACACTTGTACAATATCCATAGCATGATTTTCATGGATGGATTCATTGTCTTCCACTTGCTGAGGAAATGTAAGATTAATTTTATCTCTCGAGTGAGTCTCGTGGAATAGCGGTATACATCGTGCAGCTCCAGGCACTTCAGTACCGAGTTCATCATAAATTTTCTGATTACTATCAGCTATTGCATCCCTTGATGCAATTTCATCATTTATTAGCTCAATAACTGGAACATCATTTGAGGTATTTGTCACATTAATTTCATCAGAGTTATTGGTTGTTATAACTGCATGCTCATTGTTTGCTATAACTGTATCTCCTATAAGATGCATTGGTACATTGGTTACATTGTCTGCAGAATCATCAGACCCAGACGGTATAACAATAGGTGTTGTTATTAATTGACTGGTCTGTTGGCCTGATGGAGTATTTGTAATAATACTAGTAAGAAGGTAATGCTGCACTAAAACATTTTCTCTCCCATCCTCTGATATATGTATAGCTTTATCTTCTCCATGCAAACTATTCCCAACTTTATCTGCAGATATAACATATTCTTCTTCCTTTGCAGCATCTAACTCTTGCTTAATGTTTGCTTCAGAAATTAAAGAACCAGACGAATCAACAATTTCCTGTGTAAACTTTGCATCAGATTCCACAGGAGCAGCCATATACTCAGGTGCAGGCACTGTAATAACCTTTGGGGTATGTTTTGGGATTGACTGAGCATTTGCACCTGCATTTGGCAAGTCTGTGGAAGTCACAGTGGTCGGTGCCTTTGGAACAGTCCATACCTTAATTATCCGTGGAGCAGACCTGTCTGATGATTTAACCATTTCCTTAGAAGATATTGCACTTAATGTATTTGAATCTGATGTTCCTCCATGATTATCTTTTTGTTTCAAAGTATTGCCACTTATTCTATTAATTCTAGGTACATTGATTACCACTCTTGACATTTTATTAGTTTTCTCTGAGCTACAATTTAGATCTCCTGCTCTATTGATATTGGCACAATTTATTGGGACATTTACAACTGGTTCCACTGATTCCACAGTAACATCCTCAACATTGCTACTTTCATCTTCACTTGTTGCGAATGGAAATACTGAAAAAAAATAGATATATGTGGTAAAAATCTTCCTAATCATCTCCAAGTGGTAAATGTAGTCTAGGACATTTGACCCCCTCTACCCCCTAACACTAAGTGGAAATGTATCTTATGATGCTACATGTTTTGATGATGTTGTGTGATAAACCAGAGCCATTGCAAAGGGGGGGGGGGGGGGCACACTTGACCTTTCCTCATTTTTAAAGTCTAACACATCGGAGGAAGAATACTGTAGTAAAGAATACTCCTAAACAAGAGGGCCATGATGGCCCTGAAATCACTCACCTGTATATAGGCCCCTGGGGAGGGGCCAATTTTAACCCAGGGGCTTTTATTTGAACAAACTTGGTAGACAACCATTGGAAGATGTTTTATGATAAATATCTAAGCTCTAGCTGTAAGAAGATTTTTTAAAGTTTTTTACTATACACAAATAGGGAAAAACAATGACCACCCACTCCCCCCCACCCCTCTGGGCAGGCCAATTTTGTCCCCAGGGCTTTAATTTGAACAAACTTGGTAGTCACTCACTAGAAGATAGTTCATGCTTAATATCTAAACTCTAGCTCTTAGGGTTTTTTAAAAGAAGATTTTTACGTTTTTACTATATACATATAATGAAAATCAATGAGCCCCGGGGCGGGGCTAATTTTAACCCCAGGGCCCTTATTTGAAAAAAAATGGTTGAAACCCATTAAAAGATGTTTCATGCTATATTTTACATAACTTAGCTCTAGCTCTTAGGGTTTTTTAAAAGACGATTTTTTAAAGTTTTTACTATATACATATAAGGAAAATCAATGATCCCCGGGGTGGGGCCAATTTTAACCCAAGGGCCCTTATTTGAACAAAAATGGTAGACACCCATTAAAAGATGTTTCATGCTAAAAGTCTTAGCTCTAGCTCTTTGGGGTTTTTTAAAAGAATTTTGTTTTAAAGTTTTTACTATATATATAAAGGGAAAAACCTTGGACTGGGCCAATTTTGACCCCAGGGCTTTTATTTGAACAAACTAGGTAGACAACCACTAGAAGAAGTTCCATGTTTAATATCTTAGCTCTAGCTATTGGGCTTTTTAAAAGAAGATTTTTTAAGTTTTTACTATATACAAATAAGGAAAATCAATGACCCCCCAAGGCGGGGTCAATTTTGACCCCAGGGCATTTATTTGAACAAACTTGGTAGACACTGACTGGATGATGTTTGATGCCAAATATTTAAGCTCTAGCTCTTTCGGTTTTCTCAAAGAAGATTTTTTCTTTCGGTTGCCATAGCAACCAGAGTTCTGCTTAGAATTAAATTTGTTGAACAATTTTTAAAGTTGACTACCAAAGGAACATTCCTGTAAAGTTTGAATGAAATTGGCTTAGCGGTTTATGCGGTTTATGAGGAGTAAAAATTGACAGATAGACGCCGGATGGACGCCGGAAGAAAAGCGATCACAAAAGCATACCATGTCATTTTGTGACAGGTGAGCTAGAAAAAACCAAAATTTTCTGAAGAAAAAAAAATAAAATTGAATTTTATATTTGACGTTGATGGTGAATGTCATTCAAATGTTTAGGTCACATTTGAACTTATCATCATGTCAATTTTGTCATAGGTGTTCTTATGTGAATCATATCAATACAAAGTTGTTTTTTGTTGTTGTTTTTTTGTTTGAGTAAAATACGAAACATATTTTCAAGAATTATGCCTGCCATATGCATTTTAAGAATAATATTAAAAGAAACACAAAAAATTATTAGTCCCCTCAGATCTACATTATAACATTAATGATATGAAGTAAGATAATAGATAAGAAATATTAATGAATAAATGTCAATTATACACCATTAATATCTTGTGCATGCTTAATCATCTGTCATTCTACACCAACTTATTGCAGGATAAGACACCAGTGATTATTTTTATCTCCATCAGGAAGATTTTGTCTTAACAGTAAAGTTAAGACTATTCCTAAGTACAAGAGTTAGGATAGTTTCTTGAAACGCTCCTAAGTGCAATTTTATTCCAGTCCTAACTTTAGTCTTATGTTTAAGACTTACCGTTCTTTATGTAATGCACCCCCTGGTCAATTAAAGGTCAATGTCATATCAAAAAAATTTATCATATTGGTTTTGCCATGAGTTCTTTTGTTCATGAATAAATAAAATCTATTAATGACAATTTAAGCATCATTATTCTAAACCTCAAACAAGAGAGGTAACTGTCAGACAAATATGTCATGTTCAAAATATCATTTTTATTTGTTTGGGTCGTCAGAAATTTCAGACTCTAATGCTGTTAATTGCAAATGCCGAAAGTAGTCCGCATTTTTGAAGCAGTTACTTCCCTTTATATGTACACTAACACCGAAAAATTCAGGGGAGATCACTGCGTAAAGATTGTCAAATGACAGGCGCATTAATTTTCTAGCAAAATAGATCATGAATGGTCGAAGATTTCTAATATTGTTTTATTCTTTATAGATATACATGCTTATAGTAAGCTCCATGATTATTTACATCTGTGTTAAACAACAGGTTTAGCCTCGAAATAATATGAGTTACAAACCCTAATTTAGAATAATATGGTTTTCTTCAGGCCGTTAACATATAACTTCACTGTGGCCGACGGGTTTGCAAGCTCGCTTAGGAATGGAGAGGTCTGGAGTTCAAATCCCATTTTAGGCAACTCTTTATTTTTTTAAATTATTTAAGTCAAATAAACATTGAATTGTATATCAATGTTGCAATTAATCTTAGAGCCAATTTACTACAGTTAAAACACTAAAAAGCATTGGTGGCACTATACAAAAACAAATTGGTTTTTATAATCTAACAACCTTCACCTTTCTGACATTCTGAGACCCAAACAAATTCAGCGCCTTCTGTGCTTTGATTTAACATTGGTGGCAATCATCTCAAAATTATTAATTAATATGCCTCAAACTTATTTTGAAAAAAGACTGTCCTAGCTTAAATCTGCAATTTACAGATTTTAAGAATTTGATAACCAGCAGCAACTGAAATAACCCATGCCAGCAGTGCTGACAAAGATAACCTAGCACATATGTGCCATCTGATCATAGTCAGCACTGTTCACACATATAAAAAATTTCCCCAAAAATGATCATTTGGTAGATCATGAGTAAAGCCATTCCGTGGAAAATATTTAAATTGTAGGTTTTCATAAAAAAATCTTTATTATGTTTAACTTCACATAAGTATCTGATCGGATTATAATTCATGTTACTTGAATATAGTTTAACCTACCTGTTATAGTGTTAGAGTCAGATGTAAAATCTGCAGCACTGACTTCAAATATACTCATGATTTCATCTGCTTTCATTATCCCTTCTGTATTCTGTAAATACATGGAAGCCATTGTACATTTATTATCAAGCTGTAATGCTGGAGTGACTGAATTTGCCATTGTTACCACAAACCTCATCAAATGTTTCAGTCAGATAGGAGATCATGTCTCCCTGTAGTATTGACTCCAATACCCAACTTGTAGTACTTTTCCTCTGATATATATTATACCATAAACATCATGACATGACACATCACCAGGTCACTTTATAATGACACTAGGTGGACATCTGCAAATCTGCCATGACCCTACTGAAGGTAAATTTATGGTCTCATTGCAATGCCTTTTGTCATCTTTATCTCATGTTTTACAACAGTTCATTCTCTCTTTTTTCATGATATTTATATTATGACTTAAAATATAGTGACCACCTGAGGGAGCACCACTATGTTTTTAGTGACAGTATAATTTAGTGGTGTATTAGGCCAGCCTTAAAATCATCTTTATTTCCCTTCCCATGACCCACATATTGTTATAGTGACCTCCCAGTCAAATCCCAAACACTTAACTTGTAATGTTTCTGAGCTGACTGATCAGTCACTATAATGCTATCATGTCCTTATGTTGTGTACTATTTCTTAAATAAAGGCAACCTAATTTTCAACTTTTGATATAATATTGCTTGCAAGATTTCTTATATATTATGTATATATTTCACCTGTTTATTTTCCTCCTTGTTATGCTTGTTTTTATGATTTTTCAGACTATGTAACGTAGTAAAGCCTTTATTATCACACTGATTGCACTGAAACGGTTTTTCTCCTGAAAAAACAAAAGGCAACATTAATTGAGAAAACTTAAATGAACACCTTTTCTGTTTTTAACTTCATATTTATGTTTTAGTATTGGCAAATTCCCATAAACATGAAGATTTGAACATGTAGGAAAATAATACTAGCACTGTAAATAATGTTAACAGTGGCCAAACAAGCCGGGTAATATTGATGAAGTTAGTCTATAGTAAGATGAATAAGACAGAATAAAAAAAGTCCATAACATTACCTGTATGAATGAGTTTATGTGTTTTTAAATGATGACTAGCTGTAAATGCTTTCCCACATCCGTCCAATTCACATCTGTAATATACAATAAAAAAAACCCTGCTTAATAAATGAATGTTTATGAATATTTTGCCATTATTGTTTATATACTACATTACTTTTTGTTTTTAAAACATTGTTGTTGTTTTTTGTCATTGACTGAAGTAACTATGTTTAATGCTTTTAATAAATATAAAAAAAACAACAGTAAATACTTTAAATGCAGAAAAATTCATTAATATTTTTTTCTTATTCAAGTTCATAGTTACCCAACTGGCTATTTCCATCATAATCTAGTACATATTTACTGCACAGTATTGCTCTTTTAAACAATTATTGCCTTTTATATAAGCATAATTATGATGCTGTTAATACAAATTCTTATGTTTCTTACTACACAGACACATTCATATTACTAGAAATTCCCATAATAAACATATGTTACAATCAATCATAAAAGTACACTACTAAGGTGTGTCTGTGGCTCAGTTATTCAGGTCACTGACTACAAACTACTTGCCCATCTTGGCTGTGGGTTTGCATCCCACCAAAACTAAATTATTTCATGTAAGGAAGCTATCCAGCTAACTTATAGAAGGTCAATGATTTCATGTATAAGCTTGTGTCTGAAACAAACCACAAAGAGATGACTTTTGTCTTTGTAAAGTAAGAGTAAAGCTCGAAATGTCATTGTAACTTAAAACACAACCAAAAACAAAACAAAATAAGTACACTTCTATTGTTACCTGTATGGCTTTTCACCAGTATGAGTCCTGATATGTTTCCGCAGATCACTAAGTGTGGTGAAAAATTTAGTACATCCATCCTCGTTACAGTTGAATGTGTTACCAGTGTGTACCCTCTGATGTGCTCGTAGTCTGAAAATATGTCAATTAGAGCAAACCTTATAAAAGCCTACGAACTGATGTTACAGACTTGTGATGATTCATACAATAGATGAGAAAAAGTTGCTTAAAAGGCATTTCTATGTTTAGCTTAAATGCCCATATAAAGGGCAATCTACATTTTTTTAAGCAAACTTTATAAGGAACCATACAGGAATGCTATAAATTAAGTCTAAAGATGTTCCAAGCATAACAAGTTATTCATAATAAAAAAGATATTTGCAGACTTTTCTATTTATAACTCTAGCAGCCTTTAAAGGGACTGTCAAAATATCATAAAGCAAATTTTATATGTTGTGGTTCAGATTGGAATATTCAGTCCTCTGGTACCCACCCGTCTGATATGCAAGAAAACCATCTTTAGGATGCTACAGACCAAGTTTAGTGATGATCCATTTATTTGTTCCCTAGAAATAGCTGTAATGACCACTTAAGACAAATGGGACCAATTGGTTTATGGGGAAATAGACCCCATATGATGTTACACAAATTACAAGCAGATCTGAGTTTCAAGTAAAATGAGTTTTGATGCCAAACAACTGTACATCTTTCCCCCCAATCCGAGTGTATCCCCTAAAATAGGATTTCTTTCAATTTGATTTATATTGCATTGCATTGCTCCATTCATCTAATATGTTGCTGGTTTCAATCATATATTGAACAGATTCTCTTTTACTACTACACAATTCCTGCATTATTTTCACTTTCCTGCATTACAATTATATACAGTGTTATTTCACATCTTGAAGTTTCAGTTTTAATTTCAGGCTTTGACAATGGTAAAATGATGATATTTTTTTTGTGTATGGTATACATGTTTATACCTGTAGACAGTGTTAAATGTTTTTTCACAGCCAGATACTTCACATTCAAATGGTTTTTCCTTGGTGTGAACTCGTACATGTATCCTCAATGCATATGATGTCAGGAACTGCTTCCCACAATTTTCCTCATTGCATATAAACGTGTACTCTCCTGTAATATTTACACAGCATATGATAAACACAATTTTTGACATGTTTATACTTGTTGTCTCACTTCCCCAACAAACTTGATTTGAGACAAATAATTACAAAAATAATCTTTGAATAACTCTTTTGTACAAGATGGGGGGTATTTATTTCAAACTCTATTCAAATTAATAGAACCAACCTGTACAAGAATATGGAAATCTCTACTATTCAAGCAAATAAACCAATTTCCCTGCCTATGAGCAATCAGATTAAATGTTATTTGCTCTGTTTGTAATAAAGAAAACACAAATTATGCCAGCCCATCTAAAAAAGGGCCCATGTGTCTTAAATTTGGTTTGGTAAAAATAACTCAAACCATTTCTGATTTAATGAAATACTGAAGTGTTTAAAGCTATATCTGATGAAATATGTTATAAAAATTTCTAAAACAGTAAAATAAAATTGCTTTCATAACATGATGGCTGTTTCTTGAATGATTTGTAACATAGAATGTTTATGTAATTCAAAATATATGAATATTGTATGTAAAGGAAATAAAATGTTATTAAAAAAATAATCCACTGCTATTTTTTAGTAGGGTTGGCAATAATTTTGTTAATTAACATGTAATATACTGACATATATTTTTTCATTTTAATCACAATATAAATAATAAGTTTACAATCCACAGACAGTATATAGCTTTATACACTTTAAATAATCATAAAACAAAAAAACATCAATGACTTAAATGAAACTTTAAACATAGGTTTTTCCACTGTTCACAGAACTGGGCTAGTATTTATGTGATGGAACCCTACTTGGTTCACCAGCATGTTTCCTCAAATGAAACATTACTATTTATTCTAGGAAGTGAACTCCAATATGATTACTAAAGTTGCAAGAACTTGTTTCATAATTAAGCATAAAAAGTTATGTTTTAACTAAACCTTTATGTGTTTTCTTGTGAGTTTTGAGATTTCCAGGTGTGCTGTAAGTTCTTGGACAACCAGCAAAATCACATTTAAACCTGAAAAACATACATCTATGTTATTCCTTTATAATAATCAAAACATGTCAGATATTTAATATAATGTGATGGTCTAATTTTTTACAAAATCATTTGTTGGTTAAGGTCATATTTCAATTTTATGAGATAAAATCTTACAATGGGGTCAATGGTTTGAGACAAAGATGAGTCAAATTTCTCCATTTTTGATCATATAAATTATGTCATTGAAGGTAAATATAGTTTAGACGTAGATTCCTTTTTAAATACATGTAAGTTAACTATGTTAAAATGAATAAGAAATGCAAAATTAACTACTTTCATTAATTTCAATGAATTAGAGTGGTTTCCGCTAGCTCCCAGTTTGGCAAACTTAATTAATAAGGAGGTGTGAATCTTACGTTGTATAGTAATTAAACGCAATGTATTTAGTTCACTAATATAAAGTGTTTTCACCATAAATTTTTTGTTTTAACTTGATTTTTATGATGCAAATGAGATATGAAATATATTGTATAAGTATATTTATTGCTTGGCACAAACGGCTCTTTTAAGGGCTACCTCCTTTTCATATTGTCTCAGGTAACTGTACATTTAGGTTCTTATTGACCGCAGTACAGTGACATACTTTTGGCTCAAAATTCCTTTATTTGGCTGATACTCTGTGTAAATTGCATGAAGGCAAATTATCACCACTCTGTGCCTCTATGGTCATGACTGGTGACATGTCCGGCCAAAGCTACTTTTTGTGTCCTCATGAGCAGATTGACCCTCATTAAACATAGACTACAAACATACATGTACATACCTATCTCTCCTATAGTTTGATTGTATATAGATAAAAAAGCAAGTGTTCCTTCTTTTTCAGGTTTTGGTTTTATGTAAGCCCATTGGTAGAATCTTGTACCGCCGATCACTTTCTTGAGTATTCAAAAGTTACCAAAATTTAATTCATACCTTGTGAACTCTTTATTCTTTGTGTCAGGATTTTGGCTTTCTATAGTAAGTGTGACATGGGAGGGGTTTTCTGGCATGTGAAGATCACCAGGGTTAATCTGCATATAAATCTGGTCATCAGATAATGTGTTCTGGATATATCTGAAAACATGATAGATCAGAAACTTTTAACAACTTTACACATAAAGATTCATTCATTTTTTATAGAAATCTAAAAACAGTTTCAATGAATAAACTTTTAAATGAAACAAGATTATGGCAAATCATGATCAGCCTGGCATCCAGATTCCTCATCTCCCGTGCCCTTAGAGTTCTGCTAAATCCACAGACACTTGGGGTGTGGAGCTCAAAACGTCTTTAAATCCAAATAAAATGCATAATTTTGTCAATCCCAGCACATGCACTGATCATATATATCAAAAAAACTTAATATAAGCTGTTTTGAAAAAAATTAATATTTCAACGTCTAAAATTATAAAAATTTACACAAGTTTAAAAAATTTTTCCCCTAAAAAAACCCTTTTCCCCCTTACCATCATAATCCCCTTTGTATTTTATTCCTTTTCCCAATTTTTTTTCCCAAAAATTTTCCTTTTTGCCCACGACATAAAAGATTAACTTTTACAAAAATGGTAAATTTTTTTAAATTTAAAGGGGTAATTCAAAAAACGAAAAGCCAAAATAAACATAAAAAATTTTATCCCCGTTTTACCCCAAATTTAAAAAATTTCTTTCCATGAATTCAAACGTGGCCCCAGATTTGCAGTGTACAAATACGCCCCGCTTTGAAGTATAATAGGAACCAACATATAACCTAATGGCTCCGAACATAGCCGACTGGTTCCCATCTTCAAAGCACAGCGCATTTTGCATACGGCAAAGCTGGAGCCACGTTTGAATATAGGGAAAGATTTGTAAATGGAGTAAAACGGCGATAATCTTGATGTTTATTTCGGGTGTTGCGTTGTTTGTATAACCGTTGAAGTATAAAATTGACCATTATTGTAAAGATTATATCTTCTGTGTCAATGGACCAAAGCATTATGTGAAAATATTGGAAATGGAATAAAATACATGGTGATTATGATGGTAGGGGTAAGGATTTTTCAGGCGAACATTTTAATCTTGTGTATTATTATATTATAGACGTTGAAATATTAATTTTTTTCAAAACAGCTTATATTAAGTTTTTTTGATATATATGATCAGTGCATGTGCTGGGATTGACAAATATGCATTTTATTTGGATTTTAAAAGCGTTTTGAGCTCCACACCCCAAGTGTCTGTGGCTAAATCTTCTTAATAGCTAGAGTAGACATTTTAATTTAAAGTAATATTTATGGTAAGACAAAAACTTTGTAACATAGTATCTTATATGTTGAGTTAAGTCAGTCAAAACAGTAACCAATTTTATTTTTTCATTTTTTTGGGGGGGGGGGGGGTAAAAATTATATGTGCCAATGATGTTCATACCGATTGGCTAAATTTTACTGAATGAAATAAAAAATAGTCCAATTACTCATCAATAAATATAAAAGTTATGTCTTTATAAGAGGGACATATACCCTATATTGTACGGCTCTTCCTGTTTGATATTCTCAATGTTTGGATAGATGCAACGATTAGTACTGTCATTAATATTAGCATTTCTGGATATATTCACAAAATTTTGAGGAATAAAGGAGTCATTTGAATTATCAAATGACACATGTGTATAGCAAGAACTGTCTTGCTCGCGGTTTTCATCATCAATGTTATTGTTTTCTTGGTAAATTGTTTCATTTTCCATATCTGACAGATACTTTCCTACGCGAAAACATGTTACAATGTCATTTACAAGCGTAGGGGATTATTTGTGTCACGATATTCCATTGGCTAGAATAAATATCACCACCAATCAAAGAAATTGTAATATAGCAGGATAAAAAAACGACTGGTACCCTTCTTTTCATGTTGACTTTACGCAAGCGCTAATTATCTAGACTTGTTTCCGTTGAAACTTCCTTTTCCTCACCAATTTTCCAACATGGTAGTTATAACATTAATCTGTAATAAAAATCTGCTTCGTCTTCTTTCATCTTTTGTAGTTTACAGATTTATGTGCAAAATTTACATCAATCAGTTATTGCTTTTAATGTTTTGCATGTTAACGTCGTCAATTTAGCTGTGTAAATATCAATAATTTGTTTTTAAAAACTTGGATGATTTGTTGATTTTCTGAAAAAGAACAGGACTTCATGAAAGACTTAATGGATATTATTTCTTTAGCCAAAATTAGAACACAATATGCATTGATAATGCATTTTGAACCGAACACTTAGTGAGAAAAATTATAGATAATAGAGACATATTAATAATTTGTATTTCTGGTTGGGTAGGAGTAGGACTTTGTGAACTGTGATGATCGGAAATTTGTTTAAACTCTAGATATGAAAGTTGGTTTATTTATATGGAAGATTGTATGCTTTTTGTTTGTAGGGATACAGAGGCCGTAGGAAGCATCTGAAGCGGTTGGTTGCCCCTAAGGCATGGATGTTGGACAAGCTTGGCGGTGTTTTTGTAAGTGAATGACCTTATCATTTTTGTATGCATACTATAAGAATAATTGAATTTACCCTTAAATCAGCAGGAATAAATACCTTAATTCAAAATAGTTGTAATTATTTTAATTAGACTGTCTGGCATAAGGAATACATCTGTAAACATATCTTATCATTTTATTAGGCTGAACACTGTTAATCGGGGTGTCCGTTTGACCCTTGAAATGACTCTGACCCTTCAAATTTCCTAAAGGCCTGATTTGATCTTTAGGATTTTAACTGGAGAGTCAAATTTTGTTAAAATCATGGGGATTTGGCCGTGAAGTCGGTAAAAGGTAATCAAAATGACCCTCAGGATTTCATGGCTAGCGAACACCCTGACTGTATCTGATCTGACACTTTTATTATTCGACCCAGGCTAGGGTTGTCACAGTGACAGTTAGAAAACTGCTAATCGTTTTAAACAGTGAAGTAATATCTATGTTCAATGTTTAACCGACTGGTACTTATAAATTCCTTAGATTTTCAACATTAACTTTTTTTATGACAAGGTATGCCATTTTGTTCTTATTTATCAAAATGATAACAATACATACAAGAATATGGAGTAACTATTTTCTGCTAGGGTCGTACCGTATTCGATCAGATCTAAAATAAAAAAAACATTGTTGATTTAAAATAAAATACAAACAATTGTCATATCATGTCATAAGGTAATATTTAGAATCAATTAAAAACTTTCCTGTCCCTTAGTCTAACCTCAGTTACCGGTTATTGAATTTTATAACCGTTTTTTAGCTGAAAACCAACTGTACCCATTTAAACGGATAAACGTGACACCCCCAGGGTTCTCCGAGACGCTTTTTTGGCGTCCCGGTACGTTTTAAAGTCCTAGTGAGAACCCTGACCCCTACCAGGCATACAAGCCAGGAGTATAAATGTACTTGGCTCTTAAGCAGTGTTGCATCTAGGCCGCGCGATTGCGCGATTTGCGCATTTTTTATGCAGATCGCGCATATTATTGAAGTCAGTGCGCGCCAAGTCGCGCATCTGACAATCTTTTCAACTTAATTCAGTTTATCTTCACCGTATCTTAAAAGCTTCAGCCATGTTTGTTTTCACTTGTGGTTATGACTAAAATATGTACTAAATCGCGTGTAGCAGCCGACTAAGTCATCTCGCGTGTAAAATGTAGTATTCGTCAATATTTTATTTTTTCTACTTCCGTTTTTGAGCGGACGATAGCTGTCAAAAAGGCTTGAATGTAAAATAAATGAACTCTATTCTGTATGTCATATTGTAAGGTCAATGTATGTCCCCCACATCTTTTTCAAATCCCCCACATTTTTCAATTGAGTGGGGGACAAACCCCCATAATTTTGAAATTCTAGATGCAACACTGCTTAAGTCATTCCATATTTGTATTAATCAGGTCTAGGATTTCTTGATATTTATGGACTGCGTAAATTTATAGAAAGTCTAAAATTTTAAAGATTTTTCAGTCCATAAATTTAAAGATATTCAATGTGAAATTTGCTGTTGAAAATTGAAAGTGATCAAATTAGTGATCAAATTGTTCTGAATCTTACCATACTGTACATTTATTCATATAATTTCTAACCTTATTTATTTTAACAATGGCTTTCAAATTTAATGCAAACAAGATATGTTTGTAAAACATGTATGCCCCCTATCAGCAGCCAATTAGTCATGTGATAAGGTTATAATGCATGACTTCTGACCCAGTGATCAAACAATTAATAAGGGTTATAAAGTATCTACTGGTCATGACCTTGACCTTTGACCTCTTGACCCAAAACTCAATAGGGGTCATCTGCTGGTCACGACCAATCATCATACAAAGTTTGAAGTTCCTAGGCCTAGGCGTTTTTAGTAAATTGATCAGAAACCGTTTTTACCTACAAGGTCAATGTGACCTTGACCTTTGACCCCTTGACCCCAAAATCAATAGGGTCATCTGCTGGGTCATGACCAATCACCATGCCTAGGTTGAAGTTCCTAGGCCTAAAGGGTTCTCTTATTATTGATCGGAAACCGTTTTAACATACAAGGTCAATGTGACCTTGACCTTTGACCCCAAAATCAATAGGGGTCATCTGCTGGTCATGACCAATCACCATGCCAAGTTTGAAGTTCCTAGGCCGAAGCGTTTCTTTAGTTATTGATCAGAAACCGTTTTTTACTTACAAGGTCATTGTGACCTTGACCTTTTGACCCTTTAATCCCAAAATCAATAGGAGTAATCTGCTGGTCATAACAAATCACCATACCAAGTTTGAAGTTCCTAGGCCTAAGTGTTCTTGAGTTATTGATCAGAAAACCGTTTTTACTTAAAAGGTCAATGTGACCTTGACCTTTGACCCCTTCACCTAAAACTCAATAGGGGTCATCTACTGGTCATGACCAATCATCACACAAAGGTTGAAGTTCCTAGGCCTAAGCGTTTTTAGTTAATTGTTCGGAAACCGTTTTTACCTACAAGGTCAATGTGACCTTGACCTTTGACCCCTTGACCCCAAAATCAATAGGTCATCTGCTGGTCATGACCAATCACCATACCAAGTTTGAAGTTCCTAGGCATAAGGGTTCTTAAGTTATTGATCGGAAAGCATTTTTACCTACAAGGTCAATGTGACCTTGCCCTTTAACCCCTTAACCCCAAAATCAATAAGGGTCATCTGCTGGTCATGACCAATCACCATACCAAGTTTGAAGTTCCTAGGCCTAAGGGTTCTTTAGTTATTGATCAGAAACCGTTTTTACCTAAGAGGTCAATGTGACCTTGACCTTTGACTCCTTGACCCCAAAATCAATAGGGGTCATCTACTGGATCATGACCAATCACCATCTCAAGTTGAAGTCCCTAGGCCTAAGGGTTCTTTCATTATTGATCGGAAACCGTTTTTACCTACAAGGTCAATGTGACCTTGACCTTTGACCCCTTAACCCCAAAATCAATAGGGGTCATCTGATTGGTCATAACCAATCACCATACCAAGTTTGAAGTTCCTAGGCCTAAGGTTCTTTAGTTATTGATTGGAAACCGTTTTTACCTACAAGGTCAATGTGACCTTGACCTTTGACCCCTTGACCCCAAAATCAATAGGGTCATCTACTGATCATGACCAATCACCATACCAAGTTTGAAGTTCCTAGGCCTTAAGGTTCTTTAGTTATTGATCGGAAACCGTTTTTGCTTTCAAGGTCAATGTGACCTTGACCTTTGACCCCTTGACCCCAAAATCAATAGGGTCATCTACTGATCATGACCAATCCACCATACCAAGTTTGAAGTTCCTAGGCCTTAAGGTTCTTTAGTTATTGATCGGAAACCGTTTGCTCACAAGGTCAATGTGACCTTGACCTTTGACCCCTTGACCCCAAAATCAATAGGAGTCATCTACTGATCATGACCAATCACCATACCAAGTTTGAAGTTCCTAGGCCTAAGGGTTCTTTAGTTATCACTCGGAAACCATTTGGTCTACGGACCGACGGACCGACAAGTGCAAAGCATTATACCCCCTTTTCTTCGAAATGGGGGCATAATTATGCTATTTTCTTACTTCATGTCTATAAATTTACAGATAAAGAAAAAGTCTGTAAAATTATGGATCTTCCAAAAATTTACAGACTGTCCATAAATGTCATGAAATCCTAGACCTGTTAATATGATAATGTATAAAAGATTGTGATAAACATGGGGATTACTGGGATTTTCACCTTTTAGAACAGAAACCTATTAAAAGCCTCTTCCTATTAGAAACTCTAGGAAAACTAAACTTTCCTAGGTTAGGAAGTGTGGCAGTAAGTTGTAACACGGAGGGTGCATACAAAGTTATTGAAATATAGTATTTGTATATCAAATAAGTAGGTTTATTAAATAATTCCACTAAAAGTCTGCTTAATTGCTATCATCAGGCAACATTATATCATTGAATGATTGTTCTTGTGTTTCATAGGCACCAAAGCCAGCCACTGGTCCACACAGATCAAGGGAATGCTTGCCCTTGATTGTATTCCTCCGTAACAGGTTGAAATACGCTTTAACAGCTGATGAAGTGAAAAAGATAGTTAAACAAAGATTGATCAAGATCGATGGCAAAGTCAGGACAGAAACTAGATACCCAGCTGGATTCATGGGTAAGAATTTATTACAAAGAGCTTAAGTCTATTAAAGTACAAATAAGCTGCAAAGTGGAAAATAGCAGGGCTCTCGGAGGAACACTTGACTACTTGTCTGTAAAGGAGGGGGAAATTCGGGCATTATTTTTCTGCACAAACATACAATAGCAGCAAAAAGTTCTTTGATTCAGCAAATTGATACATCTGCACATTTCTTTCATCAGACCTGCTGACATATGACCTTTTCCACTAAATTCACCCGACACTTGCATTATCACAAAGTTTAGTTGTATAGAGAAAAAAAAAGGAATAACATTGTTACTACTTTTTAGTGTTGTCAGTGTCTATTCTAGGAGGGGGAATGGGGGGATTCACTCATATTTTTGAGAATTCTCCCCTATTTTTTCAGAGGCAGGGGGAAATTTCACTTGGAGATAGAAGAAAAAAGATCACAAATGTAATAAATTCCCACTTTTAGATAAAAATCTCCCGTTTTTCGAATCCTAGAATAGTCACTGGTTGTATAATGCAGTGGCATTTAGTAAAGCTTTTTTTCCAAAATGCTATCTTGTTTGTGGGATTTTTTTTTTTATATAGGAAAATATGTAAAACTTGTGAATTGACAGGGCCAAAAAACCCTTCTTTGTAGAGGCCGAATATAGGCTGCTTCCCCAACCAAACTAGCCTCTTTTTTCCCCAGTTTGGTCCTCAAAATTCCCCAGTCTTTTGAAATTTCCCACAGAATTTAGAACAAAATTAAAAGATTGTGTTGAATTAAGGTCTTTTACTGCCTTATTAGTATTTCCCAGTGCTTTTTGCTTTTCTATTTTGAAGAACTTGTTAAAAGTTTGTGTTAAATTTTGAGACCCCTTTTCCCAAAGTATGCCAAAATCACGCATATTTTCCCCAAGAAAAAGGCTGAGGCCCCTTCCCCAAAAATGGTGTTTTGGCCCTGATTGAGGACCCTGAATAAGATAGTGTTGTAGGCATTTATCGAAGCCAGCAATATATATTTTATTTCTGGTCAAACTAGTGCCAAAAGAAAATTCTGCTGACGGTCGCAGCCTGTACCATTTACAGAAGTTGCATTACCAACAGTAGATACAAATTTGGAGTAAACACATTAACAATTTTTCAGCTTAAATTTGATATCACAATATTAAGATTTTCCTTGCCTGTTGATTTTGAATAGTGATTTACTTTAATAGTCTATAAATGTTCATGTATGTTGGCATGCTAAATAAACAATGATGTAACTGCAACCATTTAATTTGGATCATCATTTAGACAATTTACAGTTTGCTAATTAAATACTACCAGATGTAAATAAGACTTTTTTAAGACAAAATTGACAGCAAGTAAATTGCATTATTCAAGGTTTTGCATCCTCTTTATGTTCAAAGAACAAAAAATACATGATTGTCAGAAAGAGTTCAGACAAGTGTCTGGGAAAAATCATGTAAAGTCGTCCCTGGCAAGAAACAAAAGAAGGATGAAACTTTTTTAAATCTTTTTGTATGCTGTGAACATTGCTATTTTATAGACCTAAGAGGCTGTTGAAAATTATTACAAAACTTCAGTTGAATGTTAGCACAATAATCAGATTTACTTTTCTAAATAGTAAGGATACTTAATACCTTAGTTTCAGTGGTATTTTGCATGAAGCATGCATTGTAAATATAATAGTTATAATAAAGCAACAGTTAAGAATTTTAAGAAAAATGGTTTTGAGATTTTACTTTTATTAAAATAGACATGTTTTGTTATGCAGTGTAAAAAAAGCTGTTGAATGAATATTTTTGTCCTTGAATTTAAAGCAATTATACAGTGAAGCATTATCGAAGCCAGAAATTTTTTTGTTTATAAAATTTCTGGTCAAACTAATGCTAAGAGCAAAGTCTGCTGACGGTCGCAGTATGTAACTTTTACAGAAACTGCATTACCAACAGTTGATACATAGAAAAAAAAGTTTATAAACCACCTCTGTGGTCCAGGGGTTAAGAGTCGATGACCTCTAATCTAGTTACCACTCTGGCGTGGGTTTGATCCCCAGTAGATGCTTTGGTAGTTTAGCGCGGAGGAAGGTAGTCTAGTACTGGTGTAACTCTCTAGTAACGATGGTTAGGAAACTACCAGCCTATATGACTGAAATACTGTTAGAAAAAGGCGTAAAATGAAACAAACAAACTGTCTTCAAATCAGAATTTGGTTTGCCAATAATGTATTTAAAATTTGTAGATGTTATCAGCATTGAAAAGACTGGTGAGAATTTCCGTCTGTTGTACGATGTTAAAGGAAGGTTCACAGTGCACAGAATTAAACCAGAAGAAGCCAAGGTATATTGTTTAATATATTTGTATATAAACAGCGTTTTTTTTCTCTACTTTGGAAATGGTGCGTCCGGCGTCCGTCCGTCCGGTGTCCGTCGTCCGTCCGTAAACTTTTGCTTTAAATGACATCTCCTCATAAACCACTGAGCCAATTTCATCCAAACTTCACAGGAATGTTCCTTTGGTGGTCACCTTTAAAAATTGTTCAAAGAATTTAATTCCATGCAGAACTCTGGTTGCCATGGCAACCGAAAGAAAAATCTTTAAATATCTTCTTTTAAACAACCCTAAGAGCTAGAGCTTAGATATTTGGCATGAAACATCTTCTAATGAGTGTCTACCAAGTTTGTTCAAATAAAAGCCCTGGGGTTAAAATTTGGCCCCGCCCCGGGGGTCATTGATTTTCCCTATATGCATATAGTAAAAACTTAAAGAATCTTCTTTTAAAGAACCGTAAGAGCTAGAGCTAAGATTATTTTTGGCATGGAACATCTTCTAGTGAGTGTCTACCAAGTTTGTTCAAATAAAAGCCCTGGGGTCAAAATTGGCCCCGCCCCAGGGGGTCATTGATTTTCCCTATATGCATATTGTAAAAACTTAAAAAATCTTCTTTTAATGAACTTTAAGAGCTAGAGCTTAGATATTTGGCATGAAACATCTTCTAATGAGTGTCTACCAAGTTTGTTCAAATAAAAGCCCAGGGGTCAAAATTGGCCCAGCCCCAGGGGGTCATTGATTTTCCCTATATGCATATAGTAAAAACTTAAAAAATCTTCTTTTAAAGAACCCAAAGAGCTAGAGCTAAGATATTTGGCATAAAACATCTTCTAGTGAATGTCTACCAAGTTTGTTCAAATATAAGCCCTGGGGTCAAAATTGGCCCCGCCCTGGGGGGTCATTGATTTTCCCTATATGCATATAGTAAAAACTTAAAAAATCTTCTTTTAATGAACTTTAAGAGCTAGAGCTTAGATATTTGGCATGAAACATCTTCTAGTGAATGTCTACCAAGTTTGTTCAAATAAAAGCCCTGGGGTCAAAATTGGCCCCGCCCTGGGTGGGTCATTGATTTTCCTTATATGTGTATAGCAAAAACTTAAATAATCTTCTTTTAAAGAACCGTCACAGCTAGAGCTTAGATATTTGGCATAAAACATCTTCTAGTGAATGTCTACCAAGTTTGTTCAAATAAAAGCCCTGGGGTCAAAATTGGCCCCGCCCCAGGGGGTCATTGATTTTTCCTATATGCATATAGTAAAAAGTTAAAAAAATCTTCTTTTAAAGAACTGTAAGAGCTAGAGCTTAGATATTTGGCATGAAACATCTTCTAGTGAATGTCTACCAAGTTTGTTCAAATAAAAGCCCTGGGGTCCAAATTGGCCCTGCCCCAAGTGGGTCATTTATTTTCCCTATATGCATATAGTAAAAACTTAAAAAATCTTCTTTTCAAGAACCGAAAGCGCTAGAGCTAAGATATTTGGCATGAAACATCTTCTAGTGAATGTCTACCAAGTTTGTTCAAATAAAAGCCCTGGGGTCTAAATTGGCCCGGCACCGGGGGTCATTGATTTGCCCTACATGCATATAGTAAAAACTTAAAAAATCTTCTTTTAAAGAACCGTAAGAGCTAGAGCTTAGATATTTGGCATGAAACATCTTCTAGTGAATGTCTACCAAGTTTGTTCAAATAAAAGCCCTGGGGTCAAAATTGGCCCCGCCCCAGGGGGTCATTGATTTTCCCTATATGCATATAGTAAAAACTTAAAAAATCTTCTTTTAAAGAACCCAAAGAGCTAGAGCTAAGATATTTAGCATGAGACATGCTCTAATGGGTGTCTACCAAGTATGTTCAAATAAAAGCCCTGGGGTCAAAACTGGCCCGCCCCGGGGGTCATTGATTTTCCTTATATGTGTATAGCAAAAACTTAAAAATCTTCTTTGAAAAAACCCAAATAGCTAGAGTTTAGATATTAAGCATGAAACATCTTTAAGTAAATATCTACAAAGTTTGTTCAAATAAAAGCCCAGGGGTCAAAACTGGCCCTGCCCGAGGGGTGTCATTGTTTTTAACTATATGTGTATAATAAAAACTTAAAAAATCTTCTTTTAAAAAACCTAATGAGCTAGAACTTAGATGTTTTGCATGAAACATCTTCTTATGGGTGTCTACCAAGTCTGTTCAAATAAACAAATAAAAGCCCTTGGGTAAAAATTGGGCGGGGGGGGGGGGGGGGCTATATACAGGTGAGCGACCTCAGGGCCATTATGGCCCTCTTGTTTCAGCTACAAATGAGATTAGACATCATAAAAAAAGATATCTAACAGCTTCTACTGTCAAAATAGAACTATTGAGTGGTGATTTATATGAATATGTTGGATTTAAATGATTTTAGAAAAATCACTTAGCCTTGTGGGCATTTTGAACAGCCATTTTGGGAATTTAACATTGGAAATTGGGAATTTTAATGTCTATTTTCTATTGGGAATGGTACCGTTTTAGGGTAGTAGTTATATAAAGAAAAAAAACCCTGTTAAACAGTCTGCTAAATAACTCTTAGTCATAGACCATTTTGGCATTTGACCTAGGTGAAGTTGTAGGCCCAGACAGATATTCACATGCCCATAATATTTATGATATTACATTCATAGAGAGCTATATTGTAATGTAGGTCTCTGATTCAAATGAAAAATAGTAAATAAATTAAAGACAAGGTCTTCAGACTTGTTCATTGAGTTTAACTCCTGGGTTTGCTCCATCCCACAGGTAGTCAGCATATAGCCAGGTCAGTAACTAGTACCCCACACACAAAGAAATTATATGAATAAAATATTTAAATCTTACCATAATGTCACTTAAATGTCACAGATCAATATTTTCAAGATCTTATTCATACAAATGTCTATTCGGTTGCATTGGGGAGAAGGGGGGGGGTGTACTCATAATAATTGAGTTTTGACCCTGATGCATGCTGTACACCTGTGCCACATGTTTTACCTAGCTGATTCATTTCACAAATGTAAACAATGACACTTAAAAATAAACTTATTTTAGTGGAAATGTACAACTTACTTAACCAACAAACATTCATTTATGATTATCTGCATTCCCATTCATGTACTACATTGCTTAATTTAGGCACAAAATTATACATACATGCTTAAAAAGTTGTAAGCAAGGGGTATATATACGCAGAATGAAAGTTTGGGATAGCCATATATTCATATCAACTAAATATTGTTGCCATCTACCAATTGTCAGGAACAGTCTAAACCCAGTCTTAATAGCATGTCTGTTTTCAAGAAGTCATCTCGGTCCAATTTGTAAATATTTTAGCCATGTCTAAACGTCACATGTACTGTCTTCAGAAAAAAAGTATTAGTTATTAACAACTGCCAAAAGGTATTTCGAGTTCTCAAATGATCAACAAAAAGTTTGTCACTTGATTTTTCTAACAATTAACTTCAATTGTGAACTTTATAAATGTGATATGAAATAAAAAGTATAAACAATTGACCTTTTGAAATAAATGTACCCAATTTCAGATAAACAAAATTTTGGTTATGGGTAATAAGCATACAGTATATATGGACTCTAGATCAGTGACTGTATTGTCTGCCATATTGCTACCTCTAGTGATGAGTTCTTGCCTGTGTTAGTCGGAAGTAATACTAGTAAAACAGCTGTTCATTTATATCTTTATTACAAAAATGGTAATACAAACTCCAGTTTAAACTTCTGTGTACTCCCAGATTTTGAAATGTACCCACAATTTTTATGCTCCCCGAAAAATTTCGTGGGAGCTAACTATGAGAGATATCAACATGAAACTTTGTAGGTGAATAGATCTCAATAGGTAGATGTGCAGTGCATAAGAACAATAACTCTTTTTTTCCTAATTTTGGAGTTATTGCCCTTTGTTAATTTTAACACTTTGAACTTTGTCCAGAACATAACTATAAAACTATAAGAGATATCAAGATGAAACATTTTTGAATTATCTCCCCTTTTATAAAAATCTTGTCCAGGACATAGCTGTAAAACTATAAGAGATATCAACATGAAATTTTGTAGGTAGATATATCTTAATGGGTAGATGTGCAGTGCACAAGAATTATAACTCTGCCTTGCCTAATTCTGGAGTTATTGCCTTTTGTTTATTTTTACTTTTTGCAGTTGTCTGGGACATAACTCGGAAATCATAAGAGATATCATCAAGAAACTTTGAAGGTTGATATATCACATTGATTAAAAGTGCAGTGCAAAGAATAGTAACTCTGCCTTGCCTAATTTTGCAATTATTGCACTTTGAACTTTTTCAAGGGACATAACTCTGAAACTACAAGAGGTGTACTTTCCTGTGTCCAAAACCTATTCTGGGAGCATCACCCGGCTCAAACCGGGCTCTTGTTAATGACAGTGGGTACATGTACCCCTACATTTGAAGTTCGAGTGGGCATGCTGGATTATACTAGAGTATTATCCGTATATTTATGCTAACCAATCACTGGAGATGATTAATATAGATACTGCATGACATATTAAGCAAATCTCACTGGCTGTACATTGATGACATGTTACTTGGCAATTTTGGAAGAATTGAAACTGCAACTAGTTTTGTATGAAACTAAACACCTATTCTGCATACCATCTTTCTAATTTTGCAGATGTCAGTCTTATTGAGACTGTTTCAGTTACAAAATTAGCTAACAATTCTATACCAAGCAAAAAATTCATCTGGACCCAATAGTTCTGTGAAATTACCAAAGTTTTGCTAATGGTATAATACATTTATAGTATTAGAGTGGACATGAATGGAATGTTTATATCACATTTAATAGTGTGAAAATCAAATTCATTATTTAATTATCTTTAACAGTTACACAATTTTCAATTGATCAAAATTCATTATTTAATTATCTTTAACAGTTACACAATTTTCAATTGATCTACACTATCCTGATAATAAAGGTTGCAAGTTTTATGTCCTGTGTGTAAAATTTGTACAACTTGTAAAATTCATGATCATGGATGGAATATATCTTGATGGATTATTTTACTCCCATTATTTAATTTAAAAAAAAGTGTGCATTGTCGGCCTACCATACAATCGACCGACAATCTGATAGGCAATCAACACACAAAACATTTAATTTGCGAAGCAGTGAAGATCTGACATTTGCACTGTGTGTCGAAGAGATAAAATTAACACATTGAATGTGTAAATATCTCCTTTTTATACTATTATAAAACTTGGTTTAGTTTGAACATTAGTTGAGTGTAGGTGAATATAGTGGGTGTTGCTTGCCTTCACTGCTTTAGTTTGTTATCCCACCAGAGACTTCAAATTCTTACATGAGGGAGCTGTCCAGCTATCATAAGGAAAAACAGTGGTTCTACTCATGCCCACTCTTGGATGAAATAATGTTTAGATGGGCATTTTAGGTGTTCCTCCACCAGTAAAGCAAGAAAGTCGTCATATAACCAATTATATTATAGGTGTGACTTTAAAGCTACCAAGAAAATGTGGAAAAAAAATTGGCTGCATAAAAGCAAAAAATATTAATATTTTTTCTCGTAATGTATTGCTTGCAGTACAGCAATGATTCCAATGGCATTGCTAGAATTTTCATTTCATTTTTATGTACTTTTGTTGTTTCAGTACAAATTATGTCGTGTCAGGAAACAAGAAATTGGACCAAAGGGGATCCCATATGTAACAACCAGTGATGGCCGAACTATCCGGTACCCTGATCCATTGGTCAAGGTCCATGACACTGTGATGGTTGACATTGCTTCTGGGAAAATCAAGGACTTCATCAAATTTGATAGTGGTTAGTATTGAATTGTCTAGATGTACATGAACTTGGCTCTGAAATATATGTAGTACAAGTATAAATGTTGCTGCAATGCAGCAATTGAGAAGCTCCGTGCAAAAAAAAAATGGGCTCATTACAGATACCTTACCAAATCATTCCTACACACAGGTCATTTTCTATTTACTTGAAGATTTAGTACTATTGTACATTATTCCGAATGTTTTGTAAATCATTTAAATTTGCATAATTATACTTAACGTATGCACTGTCTATGATAGAGGGACTAGATACTTAATTGTCCCCCGCCTTTTCGAGGAAAAAAGGGGGATATAGAAATAGGCTCTGTCCGTCCGTCTGTCCGTCCGTCGCACTTTCGTGTCCGGTCCATAACTTTGTCACTTATGAAAGGAATTTGAAATAACTTGGCACAAATGTTAATTATAATAAGACGATGTGTCATGCGCAACAACCAGACCCCTACCTCCAGGGTCAAGGTCACACTTGCTCATTCAAGGTCAACATTGCCTATTTGAGGGTATATGTCGTGTCCGGTCCATAACTTTCTTATCTATGAAGGGATTTTGTAAATACTTGCCATAATTGTTCACAATAATCAGACGATGTTTCATGCGCAAAGACCAGTCACCTACCTTCAAGGTCACACTTGGAGGTCAAATATTAACATAGTCTGTTACAGGGTATATTTTGTGTCCAGTCCATAACTTTGTCATTTATCAAAGGAATTTGAGATAACTTGGCACAAATGTTTGTTATAATAAGACCATGTGTCATGCGCAACAACCAGACCCGTACCTTGAGGGTCAAGGTCGTACTTGCTCATTCAAGGTCAACATTGTCTATTTGAGGGTATATGTCGTGGTCTATTTGAGGGTATATGTCGTGTCCAGTCCATAACTTTCGTATCTATGAAGGACTTTTGTAAATACTTGCCATAATTGTTCACAATAATCAGATGATGTGTCATGCGCAAAAACCAGTCACCTACCTCCAAGGTCAAGGTCACACTTGGAGGTCAAATACTTACATAGTCTGTTACAGGGTATATTTTGTGTCAGTTCTATAACTTTTTCATAGATCAAAGGATTTTGAAAATACTTGGCACAAATAGTCACTATAATAAGAGGATATGTCATGCGCAACACCTGCATCCCTACCTCCAAGGTCAAGGTCACACTTAGAGGTCAAAAATTAACATAGTCTGTTATAGGGTATATTTTGTGTCGAATCTTGAACTTCTTCATAGTTCAAGGGATTTTGAAATAACTTGGCACATAAAGTCACAATAATAAGCCGATATGTCAGGTACAACACCTGCACCCCTACCTCTTAAGGTCAAGGTCCCACTTACAGGTCAAAGGTTAACAGAGTCTGTTATTTGGTATATTTTTTGTCCCGTCCATTACTTCTTCATAGATTAAGGGATTTTGAAAATACTTGGCACAAATAGTCACAATGATTAGATGAGATTAGATGATATGTCATGCGTAACATCTGTGTCCCTACTTCCAAGGTCAAGGTCACACTTAGAGGTCAAAGATTTACATAGTCTGTCATAGGGTATATTTTGTGTCCAATCTATAACTTCTTCATAGTTCAAGGGATTTTGAAAATACTTGGCACAAATAGTCTCAATAATAAGACGTTATGTCATGCACAACACCTGCTCCCCTACCTCCAAGGTCAAGGTCACACTTAGAGGTCAAATCTTAACATGATAGATTTTTAAATTCCGTGTTTCATTTTATTTTTTTAACATATTTATTGTTACATTTGCAGATCTAGCATTGATCATAATTTTGGACTGAATGTCCGGAGATCCATACCTCGATCTTTTGAAATAGCACAATTTTATGCTTCATATAAAACTCCCGGGGTGGGGGACGTTGGTAACTCTGTTACAAATTCTTGTTTTAAAAAATATGCTTTTGCTGATGCCTACCTGTTATGGTAAGTAATTCCAATACAAAATCAAAGGGCTGTTAGCTCAGTAGTATTTTCTGATCTTTACAATCTAAATCGTACTGTATATATGTCTATATTTTCCTGTATAAGTTTATTATACTCCCACAAACGAAGTTTAAGGGGGGGGGTATATAGGAGTCAGCTTGTCGGTCGATCGGTCCGTCCGCTGGTCCACATCATGGTTTCTGGACGATAACTAGAGTTTGGAATGAGGTATTGTAATCAAACTTGGTATATAGCAACCTTATGTGGAAACTCCGGTTGGTTTGTATTTGGACCCCCAGGGGTCAAGGTCACCGTTTCTAAAAATAGAAAAATGGTTTCCGGACAATAACTAGAGATAGGAATGAGATATTGTTATCAAACTTGGCATATAGCAAGCTTATATGAAGACCTGGGTTTTTTAGCTCACCTTGCACAAAGTGCAGGTGAGCTTTTAGGATGGCCAACCAAATGGTGTCCGTCGTCCGTCCACATTTTAAATATTCTAAGGACATCTTCTATGATACCGCAAGGCCAATGTTAATGAAACTTGGCAGGAATACTCTTTGATTGAAGCTCTATCAAGATTGTTCAAAGAATTCCATTTCATGCAGAACTGGTTGCCATGGCAACCGAAAGAAAAATCTTTAAATATCTTCTTTTAAAGAACCGTAAGAGCTAGAGCTGAGATATTTGGCATGAAACATCTTCTAATGAGTGTCTACCAAGTTTGTTCAAATAAAAGCCCTAGGGTCAAAATTGGCCCCGCCCCAGGGGGTCATTGATTTTCCCTATATGCATATAGTAAAAACTTAAAAAATCTTCTTTTAAAGGACCCAAAGAGCTAGAGCTGAGATATTTGGCATGAAACATCTTCTAATGAGTGTCTACCAAGTTTGTTCAAATAAAAGCCCTGGGGTCAAAATTGGCCCCGGCCCGGGGGGTCATTGATTTTCCCTATATGCATATAGTAAAAACTTAAAAAATCTTCTTTTAAAGAACTGTAAAAGCTAGAGCTTAGATATTTGGCATGAAACATCTTCTAGTGAATGTCTACCAAGTTTGTTCAAATAAAAGCCCTGGGGTCAAAATTGGCCCCGCCCCAGGGGGTCATTGATTTTCCCTATATGCATATAGTAAAAACTTAAAAAATCTTCTTTTAAAGAACCCAAAGAGCTAGAGCTAAGATATTTAGCATGAAACATCTTCTAATGAGTGTCTACCAAAGTTGTTCAAATAAAAGCCCTGAGGTCAAAATTGGCCCTGTCCCAGGGGGTCATAGATTTTCCTTATATGCATATAGTAAAAACTTAAAAAATCTTCTTTTAAAGAACCCAAAGAGCTAGAGCTAAGATATTTGACATGAAATATCTTCTAGTGAGTGTCTACCAAGTTTGTTCAAATAAAAGCCCTGGGGTCAAAATTGGCCCCGCCCCGGGGGGTCATTGATTTTCCCTATATGCATATAGTAAAAACTTAAAAAATCTTCTTTTAAAGAACCGTAAGAGCTAGAGCTTAGATATTTGGCATGAAACATCTTCTAGTGAATGTCTACCAAGTTTGTTCAAATAAAAGCCCTGGGGTCAAAATTGGCCCCGTCCCAGGGGGTCATAGATTTTCCCTATATGCATATAGTAAAAACTTAAAAAATCTTCTTTTAAAGAACCCAAAGAGCTAGAGCTAAGATATTTGGCATGAAACATCTTCTAGTGAGTGTCTACCAAGTTTGTTCAAATAAAAGCCCTGGGGTCAAAATTGGCCCCGGCCCGGGGGGTCATTGATTTTCCCTATATGCATATAGTAAAAACTTAAAAAATCTTCTTTTAAAGAACTGTAAAAGCTAGAGCTTAGATATTTGGCATGAAACATCTTCTAGTGAATGTCTACCAAGTTTGTTCAAATAAAAGCCCTGGGGTCAAAATTGGCCCCGCCCCAGGGGGTCATTGATTTTCCCTATATGCATATAGTAAAAACTTAAAAAATCTTCTTTTAAAGAACCCAAAGAGCTAGAGCTAAGATATTTAGCATGAAACATCTTCTAATGAGTGTCTACCAAGTTTGTTCAAATAAAAGCCCTGAGGTCAAAATTGGCCCTGCCCCAGGGGGTCATAGATTTTCCCTATATGCATATAGTAAAAACTTAAAAAATCTTCTTTTAAAGAACCCAAAGAGCTAGAGCTAAGATATTTGACATGAAATATCTTCTAGTGAGTGTCTACCAAGTTTGTTCAAATAAAAGCCCTGGGGTCAAAATTGGCCCTGCCCCGGGGGGTCATTGATTTTCCCTATATGCATATAGTAAAAACTTAAAAAATCTTCTTTTAAAGAACCGTAAGAGCTAGAGCTTAGATATTTGGCATGAAACATCTTCTAGTGAATGTCTACCAAGTTTGTTCAAATAAAAGCCCTGGGGTCAAAATTGGCCCCGTCCCAGGGGGTCATAGATTTTCCCTATATGCATATAGTAAAAACTTAAAAAATCTTCTTTTAAAGAACCAAAGAGCTAGAGCTAAGATATTTAGCATGAAACATCTTCTAATGAGTGTCTACCAAGTTTGTTCAAATAAAAGCCCTGGGGTCAAAATTGGCCCCGCCCCAGGGGGTCATTGATTTTCCCTATATGCATATAGTAAAAACTTAAAAAAATCTTCTTTTAAAGAACCAAAGAGCTAGAGCTAAGATATTTAGCATGAAACATGTTCTAATGGTGTCTACCAAGTTTGTTCAAATAAAAGCCCTGGGGTCAAAACTGGCCCGCCCCGGGGGTCATTGATTTTCCTTATATGTGTATATAGCAAAAACTTAAAAATCTTCTTTGAAAAAACCCAAATAGCTTGAGTTTAGATATTATACATGAAACATCTTTAAGTAAATATCTACAAAGTTTGTTCAAATAAAAGCCCGGGGGTCAAAACTGGCCCTGCCCCAGGGGTGTCATTGTTTTTAACTATATGTGTATAGTAAAAACTTAAAAAATCTTCTTTTAAAAACCCCAATGAGCTAGAACTTAGATGTTTAGCATGAAACATCTTCTTATGGGTGTCTACCAAGTCTG